TTTTTTTTTTTTCTGCCACACAGATGTGAAAGAAGAGTAAAATTTCCTGTCCCTACTCTCCTGCCACACGTTCTCCTTACTACAAGCTTGGAACCTTTTACTTCCGACCAGGTACCTGCACCTCTTGCCACCACCATTTTATCTCCCACCCAGATCTTGTGGTGAAGTTCCCTTGCATCTTCCAGCCTTCCCACTACATAAACTTCTCCCCATCAAATAAGGACCCCAGCCTTCTTCCTTTCAGCACATCCCATTCCACCAGTCCTGATGATTATTCACTCTCTGTCCATGTTTAGAGGAGAATTTTGCTGCTGGCTACACTCTTTTATTACAGGTGCAGCAGAGCAAACATGAAAACGAGGAGGCTCTGCAGTTAGATCTTGCTGGTCAGTGGATATGTGTAACTGCTTGTTTGGAGGTTGCTGTGCACATGTCTGCACATTAGGCTGTTGTGATTGTCCGGGCCGGCTCTGCTATTTTGAAGAGGTTTGAGGATCACAGTTTGGGAACTTCTGGCCTCCAGGACCTGCTGGCTCACAGTGTGCTCATAAGCTTGGCCATGGCAGGACAGCGGCAGTGGTGTTCCTGCTTTTGTGGGTCTTGAAGTGAGTTATTCAACTAATGTGCTGGGACTGCATCCCGTGACCGACAGTGCTGATGTGCGGGCTGGTCTCCAGGTTCGAGGCTGCCTTTGAGAGGACGTGAGCCTCCAGGACTGTGAGGCCGATATTGTCAGCATGGCACCTCTGTGACTGCCCAAGGTGAGGTCAGTGCTGGGGAGTTGCGGTTGTATCCTCCCTGTGAACAACTGCAGGAACTCCTGCCAGCTCTGCAGTATGTTTTGTGCTGATCAGCCATATGACCAGTTGAGTTTATAGCTGTAGGATCCGAGTTGAGGAGAAAGACCATAGGTGGCGCAGGAAAAGTCACTCATTGCTATGTCCCAGACTGAGCTCTCTGGAAGAGTTGTAGTCCTGTTGTGGTGACACCATGTTTGCACTGGATTTTTCTTTCCAGCATTCTGTGGTGGTGGTTATTGTCAGTGAGTACTTCAGCAACATGCCAAGCTAATGGCGCAGAACTGTACATGAGAGGAGGAGAGATTGTTCTTGGACCTGCTGGCAGTTGCCCTGCCTGAGACTGGATAACTCTGTATGGAATGGCCTCCAAGGATTAAAATTTATCATTAATTTAACTATATTTATCTAACCTTTTCTCTGTAGCCACCCGCTCTATCCAGTTAGTCACTGTCCTGCTGCAGTGAACTCCTCAGACTGACCAGTACCTGGGGGAAGCAATACTTCATTATTAGCTTTTTTTTTTTTGGTCTTTTCCTTTCTCTTGCCCCTAACGTAGGCAGATTTTTGACAAGTCTTGTATTTGTCTGTTTTTTTTATCATCTCAATCTTGAGTTAAGAAGTTATATCACTTTTAGTTCATTTATTAAAACATTGTGATGATACGTTTTTAACATAATTATATTTCTCTGTGGTCATGTTAACACTCCTTTCCTTTATGGGCTTTTGGATTAATGGCTGAGAGTTATATTTGTTTGTGAATTAACATGAATTTGTATGCTGTAATGCCAGTGAGAATTGGAGGTTCCACTGCATGCAGATGCAATATGAGCAACTAAAATGATCCTTTTTGTGAAAACCTTCCAATCTAAAGAAATGCTAATGGTGAAATTATAATGTAACAGTGCTAATTAAATATAATAGAAGAACATTTCATCTGTCACTCGTTAGCCTCCTAGATCCTTACAAAAGGCTTGAGAAAGTTAGCTTAATAAGGGCCATAGAGGAAATCTCCCATTTTTATGTGGGTTTCAGATGAGTTCTTGGGAGCAGTGTAGTTTTGAAAGCATATTGTGGCCAGTGTGATAACATTTATGACCTATTTTGAAATAGTAATCTGAATATAAATTAGGGCTTAGGTAACTGCCAAATCCAGTATACAGAGATACATAATACGTTTTCTTCTCAGGGTGAATTGCTTCAGTTACGTTGTTCTGAGTTATCATTGAACCCTGTGCCTGCATGTTTTGAGTATATGTTTGTGGTGTACATTAAACTTGTTATGGCCTGACTCTGATTTCATTGACATGGTTGTTAATTCATTAACTTCAGTGGAGTTGTTCCTCATTTATTTTGGCAGGAGTGAGGACAGAATCAGGCGTTAAATCTTCAAATTAAAAAATTAAACTATAAAAATACTGTGAAATAAAATATCACCAATGTGTTCCCATTAAATAATATTTCATATGAGACTAAAATAATAATTTAAAAAATCCTGGTTAATAGAAAAGCAGAAATCAAATATCTATTAAAAAGAAAGAAAAAAACCACCAACAAGTCTTTAGTCTACAGAGAAATAAGAGAATTTGATTTAAATAAGTACTATTTTGAATGTATACTCTTGTGACAGTTATCAAGCAGAATCATTTTATTTTTGCATGGCTATCAGATTTAAAATGAAGGCAGATTGACTTCTGTCAGTTGATGTTTACCAAGAATTCTTGGAACCTCCAGTTGTATTAGCAGATTTATTTTTGCAAGTAAACATATAGTTGAAACTTATGTATTAGTGCTTTATTTGGGGTGAAACCCTAATTATTCCATTGTTCATAGATCATATTAATTTATTAAAGATTAGTTAGTGAATACTTTCTTTATAAAGATCTAAATGATTTAAAAAGTTGTGGAAGTTAGCATCTCTAATACCAAGCTGACAAAGGAGCAGAGAGAAAGAATAAGATAGTACAATCAAATAATCAAACATTGACGTTTTCACGTGGTTCTATGAAAAAACACATGTAAATATCTTTATGTAGTAACACTTGCAGTGACCTGGGAGATAGTGATATGGGAGTTTACCATCTCTCTGTAAAACATTTCCCCTTTTATTTTTTAGTGATGTATGGCTTAGTTACACATACCTTTTTTTTTCCCTAGCTGACTACTGTGGCTTTAGGAAGGTACTAGTAAAGTCTTACTTGCACACGTCTCCCTATTTGTGATGGTTTTGCCCTAGCGTTAGTCAGAAAATGGCTCAAGATTGGCATGTGAGCAAGAAGGTAATTAGTCATGGCCAAACTGTTAACTGTGAAGTAAACTTTACTCTCTGGGGACTGCTTTGTCAGAAAACAAGTTATCTTAGGTTAGCTTCTGAAATCTAATTGACTTAGCATTATTTACAGATTCATATCAATTAGTCCCTCAGTGGAAAAAAGTGGTCTATTGTAACTTTGACAGTTTTTCTCCAAAGGCCACTTTCTGTAGCTCATCTTACACGAGCAGGTGCCAGAAAAGCATTGTGTGAAAATTAGAGGATCTGCAATCAAAAATGCTGGCTTATATGGTTATAATCTGGAATTGCCATAATGGAAAAAGGAGTTGTGAACACATATGTATGAATGGAATTGTTCCACAGTTAACAGGAGATTTATGGCTGAAGAAATCACTACAGAACAGCAAGTGGTAGAGATTGTGTTTTTATTTTAATATGAGAGCCAAGTCTTGCATTAGGATGTTGCTGAATCTAGTGCAGAAAATAAATGACACCCAAGGGATAGTGTAGCATTCTGTTAGATAGAAGGGCCTTTAATAATCCCATAGTCTAATAGCAGTTAAGATAGAGAATGTATAAGAACTAATCTTCTGCTTTTACAATAAAGTGTGTACGGTAACAAGAAACAGTTATGATGTGTTGGCACTGTAGCTTTTAGCAGATGACTCTTTAAATTAAAAAATAAGTTTGCTGAGTGACTTTCTGGAATTTATTTAATGAAGGCCCATAAAATATGGTATCTGTTTACAGCTGGATTAACAGCACAGTGCTCAACTACTAGGCTTTAGGCTAAACAAAAAGTACCAAACAAATCTGAAATCTTTTCTTTCTGGAAAGTGCAAATTCATTTTGGAAAAGCATAAATTTAACTTCTACACCTGTCTGTCTTTAATCACAATTAACAGTTCCTGGTTTTGCAGCTTCCATGTGGTTTCAACTTGCAAACTATAGGCTGCAAGTCAAATGTGTATGAAGAAATAGTACAACAATCCTGCTTGTTCAATTTTTTTCAAGTTTGGTTTCCTCTGAATAGCAGCAAGCAATAGCAATTCTATTAGTATTGCACTTCCCCCTCCTCCCCCCCCCCCCCCCCCCCTTCTCTTGGAAAAGTCAATCTATAGATTAACTTCAGTTACCCAATTTTCTGCACAGAAGATGGTTGGAGATGCAGTTAATTTGTGACTGAATTATATGTACTGTATTTGTATTCTGTAGTTAGTGTATCTGGGGTGTGCAGAGTGAGAATAAGATGTTCCTGAAATAACTTCCTTTTTGGAAGCAATAGTGGCAAGTTTACACAGGACTTGCTAAACACCAAGTACATTTTAGCCTATGCTACAACTCTCTAAACAAACAATTCACAGTACTTGTAGCAGACAACTTTGGTGTGTAAATGTACACTAGATGGCAGTTTTGTCATATCTTCCAAGTTCAAATAGCTCTGTAGGAGAACAGGAAAGGCCATCAGTGTTTAGTCTGCACTCACAGGGTCCCTGCATGACCAATGTGGACCCCATGGACTTCCTGGAACATGTGTTAGCAATTTAGCAGCAGACATTTATTTCTTTGTTTTACTGCTTGGCTCTTTGAGAAAGTGTTGGTACTCAGTTATGGGCTGTCTGGATCATGTCAGAGGCCATGGGGATCAAGTCCATGTGACAGGCCAGACTGAGGAAGGATGAAGTTGGAGGAGGTGAGGAAACTGACCCTTACTTCAACAGTAACAAGTCACTGCCTGTCTGTGGACTGTGGCCAAATGCTGGGGCGTTTTAGGTCTAATACAGCTGAATAAACAAAACACTTTGCCCATTTGGCTTTTTCATATTTCATCAACACTAGTTCAGTCAAAGTCTTTTCTATTTCCTAAGAAGAGGTTCTTATTCTTCATCTTTTTTTTTTTTCCTCTTCCCCCCTCCTTCCCCACGTTTTAGCCCCATCCAGACGAGGTGACCTTGAAATCCTTGGCTACTGCATGCTGCAATGGTTATGTGGGAAGCTACCCTGGGAACAGAACCTGAAGGACCCTGTAGCTGTCCAGACTGCGAAAACAAAGTAAAAATAAAACAACACACAAGTACACATGTACACATGCATACCACCCTAGAACCCTGCAATGCCCTCATCACTTAACAAAACAGGTCTGAAAAAGACAGCTTTACATGCTGTAGAGTAACACATTATGAGAAAGCTAAAACAATTTTCCTCAAGAAAGAAGCAGTTAAAAATGTGGACTCTATGTGTATGGATACCCTCTTCCACATGTTTATGTGTGTACTGCTGTACCGAGATGATAAATTCAAATGCACAGTACTCATTTTGTCTGCTGTGTATTTTTTTTAATACTCCTTTTTAAAGAAAACATTCATGAATTAGTGCAGGCCTGATTGCACATACAGAAGGTTGTTGTGTGTTTCCATTAAACTTCATGGGTGCTTTGTAGAGACTATAATACAAACATCTCTTGGAAGTTTTTCCACACATGCATTCAATTTATTTAACTTTCTATATGATACTGTTTTTCAGATGTCTTTATGTAGGTTTTTTCATGTTATATAAGCCTACTGCCACTAAAAACAATTAAATACCAAAATACTAAGGAACTTGATTAAAATCTTTCCTTTTTCCCAGCATGACTCATTTAGAGCTTACTGAAGGAATCAAGTGCATTAGTGTTTTCTTTCTCTGCTTTCACGGTTGGGACTTGAGAGAGTTAATTGCATGTGGTACAGTGTAGGCTGTAGAAGACTATACAGAAAAGTAGTTACCCATAAATGTAACATCACAATTGGAGAAGGCAGCAAACTTTTAAGTAGGGCAAGTCACAACAGAGGTACACAATAGGGATAGCTGATCCACAGAAATCAATCTGCAAATTCAGTGTGGCATTGGCTCTCAACACAGAAAAAGGTTAGCCTGCAGACTGTGGATAATACAGATTGCATCTGTAAATGTTGACATCGTATGTTATGTTTAATATTTCTCCTTTAGAAGTTCTGATCATTACACAACCCCCTGCAAGGTAACACTTATACAATTCAATGTTAAATCAATTTAATCAATCAAGCTGCTTCACTAATTCTTCCCTTGCAGTTAACCCTTAGATTGCTAGCATTTTCAGGATGCCAAGCAAACAGATGCTTTGAGGAAATGCACAGAAAATGATATGGATTCTATTTATCAGAAATATCCAGTTAGTCTAATGAATTATGTTCTTGGTATTAGGTAACTTGGTCAGGTAATCCCCTTTTATTTATCTTGATTTTCAGTGCCTATACTGTTTTCAAAGGCCAGAAATAGACATCTGGATATATGTGTGTATCCAGTTGCCTACAGGTTAGTTAGTACATTAAGCAGCACAGTTGAATCCCTGCTAAGCGTGCCAGTCCTTTGCTGCAGAGTCTGTGTGACACTGAGGAAGAAGGGGCTGGGCCTGGAAGGTGGGGTGCAGTTGAAAGGGAGGAGCCCGAGCAGCACCTCCAACTCTGTTGTTCACGAATTGTCTCATCCTCTCACCCTTTCACTACAAGTTCTTAGTCTTTCCTCCCAAGTAACACTGGGGCAATGAGGCAGCTGTGCCAAAGCTTTCAGCATTGGTAAGGGGATATTTAAGGACTGCTGGTATATTTGAGTTCAGAAATGTTAGTGCCATTCCATAATTGGAGGAGAGGCTCCATTTGAATTGGAATTTAAGCTAGGTTACAGGAAAATGTTTATGTTTAAATGTTTCATTTCCCCAAAATTGAACCCCCTATTTCTGATACTAAACAACAGATTACTGAATTGAAGGTATTAGCTTATGTACCCCAACTTTATGCATTTGAGAACACACCCCATTACTTATTGGTGGAGCTTTTATGGCTCCTTTAAACAAACAAAAGGGATCCTTTAACAGTATTAACAGCTAGACTGAACTAACAGATTTCACTTACTCGGGGCAAGGGGGCTTGTGCAGCTGCAGGTTCCTACAGGTGCTAGGAGATCATCCTGGTTCATGTCTGCACAAAGATGAGCTGGTGATACTTCATCTGTTTTTAGGGTATGATTGATTCTAAGCTCCAGTGTCCTTTGCTATTTCTGTTTCTGGATAGATAGAAAGTACATCTGTGACCCTGCCCTTCAGTTTATGAAGTGCATGGGACTTAAGGTCGTTTAACCTCCCTCTCCCCTTTTGTCCCTGCCGTGCCTGCTTGTAATTTTGACAGCCATCACCCAGCTGCCTGTGAGCTATGTGGCAGAAAGAGCCTGATGCTAAATGACTAGTAGGCAGACCAGAACTGCTTCTTAAATTCCAAAATACAAGTATCAATCATTAAGCTGAAATCAGAACAAGCCATTTCAGCTCAAAGGATTTTTCTTTTTCTTTCTAGAAAGCTTAAAACATCTGCAAAGAAAAACTTAATGTTAAAGCGCAGTCTTAGCTGTAAGCCTGGTCTTGGTGAAATCAGCAGTCTCCAAAGAGTTAAAAATATAGCTGGTAAGAGGAGATTTTGTTTTAAAAGCAGTACTGTGAATCATTAGCTATCCCGGAGGTCCACTCCCTTTGGAATTGAGACTTGCTGTCTTCCGAAATCCCAAATGAAGAATCACCTGCTCCAAAACCACATAAAATTGTTGCACTCTCATGTTGTTTCAGGCTTATGGATGAGCTCCCAGATTCAGTGATGGAATGGGATTCTTCTGGAAGCAGCTGTAGTAAGTGTACTTGCACTATGTACCATATAGTTCTTTAGCCTGTTACAAAAAATACTTGAATGTCTTACTCTATTTGGGGGAAGCAGAAGATAAGTGAAAGTAACACAAATTTAACAAAGTCTTCGGTTTAAAATCTTAAATGCAATTGCTAAGTTTTGCCTGAGTCCATGCAGTATTACTGGGCTCTGGTCTTAGGGCAAACTAGCATGCAAGCAGAAGTCATCCTTGAATCAAGCCCTTGAAATCAAGCCTGCGTGAACCACTCTTACGCATACCTATCCAACAGAAGAATTCAGCCTGCAGTATCTGTGTTTAGCTGATAACGCAGTAGTTACGTAATACTCATTGTTAGATCATGTCACACTCGTTAATTCAGGTTGCAGTTTAATTGAACTAATATTTCTGACTTCAGTGGAACTGGATCAGGCCCTTCATGTACAAGCTTATTATATTTTAAGCATTTTTAGCTCAAAGGCTTGTTTACTGCAGAGGAAGAAGGTAAATTCTGGATGCTGTTGAATGCTGGTCACTCTGCAATAAATGACTCTTGATGATTACTGATACAGGATACTTGGGATGCTTAATGCTTTTATTGCAGGAACTCTTTTTCTGCTACTTTCCTGCATTATCCCATAAACAAGTATGAAGCAGATGAAATGGATGTTGAGGGCTAAATTTTCATCCCCAGTGTGTGGTAGTATAAAAATCTTAGTCTCATCTGTGATGTATGCCATACTGTGACATAAGGGATCTTAGCCATATGTAATCCAAGGTGTTAGGAAGCAGTGACTATCTTAGAAACAGAAGTAGCTCTTAGTATGGAAATAGTAAGCAACTGTCTACAAAAGGTTTATTGCTTAGTATTCAGAATTTGAAAAAGCAAATGAATGGACAGTTTATCTTGTCATATGTTTCTTCCTTCACTGAAATACAAAAGTAACCCAGGGAAAACACCAAATTTTCTTCAAAGGTCAGTATCTATTTTGATTTATTGACTTATTTTCATAGCATTTCTGTATTGGAATTATTGGAATGTATCATGTATTACATAACATATATTCATGATGTGTATACATATTTAATAAATCTTTACTTCTGGGATTTTATCAGATGCTAATATCTGGTGTAGTACTCCAGTTTTAGGATACACTTGGGCCTTCAACTGAAAGAAAAGTTTGATTTCCCCCCCGCCACATATGTTTTTCCTAATAGCATTATTTCTGCCCGTTCAGTGGTTTCCCTGTTTCTAGAACTGCTTGATAACGATAGCAAAATAATGCTGCTGTTAGACTGCTCTAGGATGTAATCTCAAAAACAATATGTGTCCAAGTAGTAGAAGTATAAAAAAAAAAAAAGTAGCTTTTTTCCAAAGCATTCAAAGTGTAATATCTATGCAGATTAAAATAGTGTTGTTGAGAGTAGTTAATACATAGAGGGGTATTATGATCTATCAAATATAAAATACTTTTATTTTATACAGAACTATCAATATTTGTCAGTAAATTATTTTGACTAATTTTTATACTTAGATAGCTTTCGGTACTATATGAATTAGTGCATGTGCATAACAAGACATAACACTTAAGGGTTAGCTTATTTATCCAAGTCTATCTTTTCCTTTTCTCATCTCAAAAAGACAAGATAGTGTTAGTTCTGTGTTTTGAGTGTGTCTTCAGCTGAAATGGTGTCATCTTGTTTGGCAGTGTAGGATTGGCATCCATTTTGGACTTAAATTCTTTCTGAAGTTCTAGGTCTACAGCAAGTGAAATTTACATTAAAATATGCTCTACAGGTGAAATATCCAAGTTTTTGGCATGTGTTTATGGCTTAGCTTATGATGAGAAGCCAAAGTATCAAGTGCTCAAGAAAATCCTGCTGGATGGACTAGAGTCAAGTGGAACTCGCTACGATGGCCCTCTGGAATTTTCCGCTGCAGCCTGCACACGAACTCACTCTGCTGCTGAAGTGTCAAAAGTAAGAAAGACAGTTCTGGGATTATTTCTGACATCTCCTGCTTGATTGTTGCTTTTTCTTTTGTAGAAGAGGAAATGGTTTAAGATCTCAAAATGAGACTGACACAGCAGTTCTTTTGCCTTAAATACACCATGTTTGTTACTTCCTGTTTCCCCTGCCTTTGCTAAAAAGTGGGATGTCAACCCTTAAGGAGGAAGAACTGTCATGAGTCCTTTTGACCTACAGCCTTTCACTTCAAAGCAGTAGGTCTGTGGAGAATGATTTACTTTCAGGATAATGGGGAAGTAAAGGACTTTGTTCACTAACATCTTGAAGACAAGCCTGAATGCCAGGTTTTTCCTTCGTTCCAGATTAAAAGCAAAGTTACCTTTATTAGTGAAAGCATTTAATTCATTTTCTTGCTTTCAAACTGTTCTTTGTCGTTTGCCTTTATACTCCTGCAGCCCCTAATGTGGAGGAGGTATTATTCTGGGGTTTAACTGTGTTATTGGTATGCAGTGCTATGTGATGCACTAACACAGAATTTTAAAACTGACAGCTATCGTGTTATATTTTCCTTTTGTACTTTTAAGTCTGAAATTGTACAGTTAATAAAACCGTGTTTTAATAAGTGGAGATTGAGGTAATTAGCAGTCTTATTGGACTTGCTGTGAAATGTCAGTCCCATCATACCTCTGCCTTGAAACTCCCCGTATGCAAAAGCCCTGTTTCTGTCTCTGATGCGTGTGCAATAAGGCAGGGTCAGGGTACCATTCATTTTTAATATTTCTGGTGAACTTTGGACCATCACAAGTGTATGTGAGCCAAGAATGCAGGATGCAAACTAATGTGACTGATAGGCTGCTAGATGAATGGTGATTCAAGTATCAGTGCACAGATGGTTCTGATTTGCTGAGTTTTGTAGCTGCTGCAACTGAAGACATAAAATATCCTTCTAGTCATAAATTAGCTCTTTGGAAGCAAAACCTTGGCACCAGAGCTTTACAACCTTCAATTAGTAGGGAAAGAAGTATTTGAATGACTGTGGTATTGACATCTGTAGGCCTGCATAGTAATCATTCCTAATAGAAGAGAATATCTGTTTGAGGGGGTTTTGCATGGCTAATTAACCACCAGTGAGAATATGTAATTTTTTCATGATCTCCTGATTGTCACCTTTCTCTCATGATACAATTACATTTTATTGTAGCAAGTGCCTCACAAACCAATTGTCAGCAGTATTTACGTATTATGGAAGGCAGAACAAAAGTTCATGTTTAATAAAAAGGCACTGGGTTTTGATCTTGGTAATTACAGATACTTATTTTGGCAATTTTATTGACTTTTCTGTTTGGTTTTTTTTGTTTGGTTTTTTTTTTTTCTTTTAACAAAACCAAAAGCTGTTTCAGTAACAGTATTTCTCTTGCTATGATGGTGACCACTTTGTCCTCACTAATTTGAGAAGCTTTTTTTTTAAGTTTGTACTGTTTTCTGAACTGAATTGAAATATCAGGTAGCTGTTAACTGATCTCCAGCTGATCCTGTTGGATCTCTGGTTCACAGAAGTCTTTGATTTCTTAAGAGTCAGATACTGAATAGTAAATCTATTTTCTTCTTATTGCCTGGCCTAACACTTGACAGTATGCTGGCATAAAGGGTGATCCTGACCTTCCAGGCTGTAAAAGCTGCTGTAGCACTTGCTATTTGCAAGTGCACAACCCCACTGAAAAATCCATGAATGAGGAGTGTCAGTTATCAGCACTCTTGTGCTGTAGGACTACGCGGAATTGGTTTTGATGGCCAAGAACAAGATCAGAGAGAGAGAGTATGTCTGCATATTACTAAATCTTGGCACCTGTCATCACTTTTTCAGAGAAATTTTTAATGTTGAGTGTCTTGCTTCTTGGAATAGTAAGAATGCTAGCACTGCACCAATGATCACCTCTTTCTTATCCGAGTATGTTTCTTCAACCAGTTCTGCTGCCTTACATGAGCAAGTTGCCTGTAACATTCACTGCAGAACAGCTGCAGAAAGGAAATTTTAGAGTTATTCAGAGGACTTACGGAGTACTTAAATACAAGTAGAAAGAGCAGATAAGTGAACTTTCTCTAAATTTATTGCTGTTTTCAGAAAATCCAATTTTTCCATCTGTGGTTACTGGCTGCAGAGGATGTTCAAGGCCTGGTACACTTTGGTGCTACAGTCCTGACAAAGTGTTCGATGACAGGCAGGCACTTCCCACTGCATCTCTTCACGGCCCTGTCTGTAGTTATCCTAGGTCTGACTCTTTTCATCTCTGCATTCCCTTTCCACCTCTCCTTTTATTCACCAAACACTTCTCCCATTAAAGAGGCAACCTAAGAATAGTGGGAGCCACTACAAACAATCCACTGTCTCCTCACTTCTTTGCTTATGAGCAGAATCTGACTCCAGATGACCTGTCTGATTCCACCTGTACCAGTTTGGTACACAGGAAAGAGGTGATTTTGGGTTAATTCCCTTCTGAAGACCAGTAAACACCCGTAAAGGGGATCCTGTAACATCAGCTCCTTGAAGATGATGTGAAGAGGAATTGCTACAGAACATGAATTTTAAGATGCAGCTCCCTATATAGTATATGAGTCTAATCTTGAGGTGACATAAAAAGCCTAACAGTGGCTACATCCTGGTTCTTTGTTTCAATTGCACACCAAACATAGGTGATAAAATATTAATTGCATTAATTCTCAAATTTGTTTACCGCAGTTTTTGGCAGCGGCTAAATATTTTTAGCTTTTTCACCTGCAGTAAAAGTGCCAGCATTATGCCCAAATGAAGTATGGTAAGGCCAGCTGACTACCTGCTAGATTTTGTATTAAAAAGTAATTACATCGATACCAACCTGTAATTTTTATTAGTGTGGACTATGGTAATTTTTAGGCATAAAATAAATATTTTCACGAGTGCTCCAAGTCCTGTTTTGAAACTGGTGTAGTAATTTAAAGTATGTATACATTGTGAAGATACCAGGGGTTGCTGGCAACAAGCTCAGCAGTTCTTGCATGGTGCTGTGTGGTGCCCTGATGCAGAGAAAACAGCTTGGGCCCCTGCATTCAGGTAACTGTCAGTGTGGCACCGAGCCTCGCCTGTGCAATTCCATTGCTCAGGGCTACCTACAGCGTTCGGTCCTGAGGTAGACTGTTTGAAACTAGCTTGAGTTGTTCAGAACAGATACACCTTTATGTTCCTAAAGTTAGTAATTTTCACAGAGCAGAACTATACAGATTATATTCTTAAGAGGTGTTTTGGATTAAACAATATATGAAGTGCCTGCTGGCACTTTCAACGGTATTTAGTTTGTGCAGTTTCTATCTCCTGTATGTATTTAATTTGCAGAATAAAAAAGCAGCCCATTATTTCTTTTTTAGCTGCTATATTCAGATACAGCTGCTGCATAGAGGACCATATGCAAACATTACAGTTACGGAGTTATTAGTGTGCCAGAAGTACCAAAGGCATGTGGCATACAGCCTGTGTTTTGGCTACATTTGTCTTCCAAGTTACAAAAGCCAAAACCAGACATCATTTGATACTTACTGCTTAGAGCAGCACTGGAAAAAACTTGCATTAACTCATGCAACTATTCACCATGTATTTCCCCATTTACATTTTAGGAGACTGTAGAATATAAGTCTTAACTCTTAAATTAGATTACCCAAGTCAGAAGACTTAGCGATTATCTTACTTTAGAGAATTTTGCATTTGATTCAATCCAGTGATACAAAATGCATTCAGCTTTACTTGTTAATGAAACAAACAGTGACTTACTGGCATCATTCCCAATAAAGGCTATTAGTGAATGTTTTGAAATGTATAACTGAAGTTTATTTTATAGCATACTTCGCAAATACAGCATAGCTCTAACTTTGTACTGTTTGAAGAAGACATTTATTGATAATTAAAATGCTGAAAACAATTCTTTTGAGAAAGATAAAAGCTTACTCTCATTCTGTGTTCTCAGAACTGAAGACGGAACAATTTTCTTTTTGAAATACTGACTTTTTTTCACTATACAAAATAGTTCACTGTACATCAACAGGTTCGCTTACCAAAGCCTATGCCAAAGCCAGTTCAGCAGAAGCAAAAAAAGATGGAAGGTGAAGAATACGTCTGTCAAAACAAAGCCTGTACTGGGGTAACAGGCAAACAACTCCAAGATAAAGAAAAGCCAACTAAGTTTAACAGGATGCTTCACCAAACGGAGCCTCAGCAGGTGAGGATTTGGGCATCGCAGTAATGCATGGTATCTCCTGGGAGTTTGTTTGCTCTGTCAGCTCAATGTCCACCTTTTGGGGTCGGCGAGGGAAAAAAGTGCTTGAAAAAAGCCAGGAGCTACGTCTCATACTCCAGAAGTTGGCATACACTTACTGGCTTGTATTATTCCAAGCCTAAAACTGAGTTTCTTGTAAGCCCGGGGAATAAGTGCAGAGAGGGCACTAAACTTACCTGTCTCAAACCTGACAGGTCCAAGTATCAGAATGGTACCTGTGACAATTTTGAACGTTACTGAATTCTTGTCAGCATACAGAATTACTATCTGTACATCTACAGGTTCGCTTACCAAAGCCTTCACCAAAGCCAGTGCAACAGAAGGAAAACACAGTGAAAGAGGAAGAATGTAACTGCCTAAGCAGGCCCCATGCTCGGGTAACACACCGGCAATTCCAGGCTGAAAAGAAGCTAGTTAAATTTTACACTACGATTCAGGAGACTCAACACCCCCAAAAGGTGAGGTTTTTGGTGTTACCTTAGAACAGTCATGGCACCTTGCAAGAGAAAGATCAGCTTTTCTAAAAACAAGAGTTTAAAAAAACCCAACAAAACCACCACACGACCACAAACAAAGCCTAAACTAAATATATGCCACAAACACTAAAAGTCTGTATAGTTGCTTGGTCATACTATTCCCAAACTACCACTCCTGGTTTTTTATAGTTTGATAGTAAAACACTGCGCTTTGAGTACTGCAACAGTGTGTCTGCTCATCAGATAAAGGTGCTGGGGAAACAACAATCTCCGTTTGTGAACCCTGTTGTTTTCTTGGTAGAAACTTACTTTAGTAGTTTCCTTTTCTACATAGTGGAAAACTTCATAGCACTCTTAATTAAGTTCTTAAATTCTGACTGTTTAATCTGAGGATTTTAGTAGTTAACTAACTCATCTCAAATATTATTGGTAATTTACTGCATAAAAGGGTTAAATGAATGTATTCAGTCACACTTTTCAACTGTACATGAAAAAATTGATGAAAAAAATGTTAGTAAAAATAATGCAGATAAAGTACACCTTAGTAATCATACTGTGCTCCTTTTCTATGGAGTTTATGTATACTTTAACAAAGAGATTCTAACCTGTTTCTTTCATATAGAAAAATAACTTGTTAAATGAGGACGATTTCTAATAAGCACAAAAATGCAACTTTAAGGTTAGCTTTATTATTAATCCAAAATTCTTTGCTTCAAGCAGTCTGCTGATCACTGCCTGGAGACTCTGGTACAAGCTAGGAGAGTGAAGCAGAAAAAGCACAGCTGTACCTGAGAGCATCAGGCAGTAAAGTGGTGAGCAGAACAATTTTTGGAGATGTTTTGGCTGATAGCAAGGTAGACAGATTCTGAAAAGTCTCTCGAGTCCTGACACAACAGTGACTCAAAGTAACAAATATGATTTTGTAATAGGAAGGTATTGCAGTGCTACTTCCTAGTCCTCAAATGTAACATTTAAAAGATATTAGCAAAAAAAGGTAGCAAATTCTTCCCCCAAATCTCCTCCCTCCTCTAATTTTATGTAAAAGCTACCATCGTCCTAAGAAAGAAGCCAATATGGAAAAGAGAGCCACATTTAGGTTTCCAACATGGCATAAGAAAAAAAAGAGCTGGTGTAAATTCCCCCATTTAACTTGAACAGTAAGCACACAGTATGGATTACAGATCTTGACACTGGAGAGTAACTTGGGGATTCATGTTTCCCAACTTTTTGTGGGAGGAATGAAAAGCACATTCTTGCAGAAAAGGGACCAATTGCTGGTCTAGTATTTAGATTATATTTGTGTTTTGATTTAGTCTTTATTAAGGAGAAGCTGCTACTCCAGTATGATTAATAGTGCTGCATTGATGTAGAATAGTTCTGTGGTACTCACTGAATATTATGCATAATAGGGGAGAGTTAAAACGGATGTCAGATAACATTTAAGATATTCAAGTGAGAAACTGGAGAAGGAAAAAAAGGCAAGATTGTATTAGTTTCATTTTGCAGACTTCCTCTCAATTTCTTTCACATAATTTAGGAGGTTGGTAAAGGAAAGCTATATAGGAAATTTTAGAGTACTGAGGTTATGAAAATTCAGGAGCATTCTTCAGGCACAAAGCAGGGAAAAAACAATGGTTCATGCAGGAACTAGAGTGGCGAGAGGCTGTCACGCATTCTCCAGAGAGCAATTCCAAACCCTTTGGGAAGGCAACTGCCTGCAGTAGTAAACTGCAGGCACCTCACTCTAAGTTAGCCACTTAGATGGGATCGCCACCCTGTTGCTATTAACAGACGATGCAGTTAACCGTCTGAATACAGAACTTGGAGGGAAAGTTCTCTTTCTCCCTGTTTTTTTATCTTTTGGGGAAGTCCATTCAGAAGAACATCACGTGGCTGGGACAATGAACGAATTGAGTGTGTCTGCTTAGTAAGATGCTACTGGAAAGCAGTTAAAGTGTAGGTATAAATTAAACCAAGAAACATTTCTATGCTGAAAGGGGAACACCTGACCGAGAGGAGTAGGACAAGAAGGGTAGGATGCTTATGAGAGACGGGACAGCTAGACAACCTGGGGAAGAGAGAACGAGGTAATATCTAGAAAATACATGGAAAAAACAAAAAGCAGAGAAGAAAAAACCTGTGAGCTGCCCTTGTGTTGGATGTAATAGTATCTTTCTATCAGATGGAGCCCATATTTAATTAAAAGAAGAGAAACAGACATGTCTGTCACCAATTTGAGAGAGGAATAAAACAGGAAGACAGGAAATTTCTATTAGAGAAATACAATTTACATTATGAATTTTCATGAAGAAAACTACATTGCTAGGGTTGAAATTGAGTGGGATGTATTGGTAAAAAATAACATATTGCAAATGGGATCATGGAAAGGAAACCAGAGGTAGAAATTTTTCTAAGGGACAATGGAAAATATGGTCAAGTCTTGGATAGATGAGAAACAGAAGCATAGTGTTTGGGGATTCCTTTCAGAAATGGAGATCAAAAAGGTAAGCCAAGGATGACATTGCTTCTGGAGACCTAAAAAGCCCCCAACCACCACCCTATCCAACTAGAACAAAATCCCCACTATTCGCATATTTATGCTATCGGTGATAAAGCAGGAGAAGTTTAGCTTCACTAGGAAAACCAAAAACTTACACAAATTAAAACAGCAAATCAGACTTCAGAGTAATGTCTAGGGTTTCCAGGCTAAACTTTATTAGCAGGAACACTGTAAAGACTTAAAATATTAACATTATTTGGAAACAAGTTAAAGATATAGAAGGATTTCAGCTGTTGACTTCAGTAATAGAGTATGTCTCCTTAGACGGTGTTTAATCATACCTAATGTTGTACACTTAATATACAATATACTTATACCTGCAAATCCCAGAGTTAAGACTTTGTAAGAATTGTCTTGCTTTCTCCAGGATAATTTAAATACCTAGATGTCGTCTTTTGTGTCTTTGTTTTTCCGATTCACACTCGATTATTCAATATTAAGTTTGCTATTACCATATTTATTTTCTTTTCCTGCAGAAAGACACTGCAAGAGAATTACCACCATTCGACCCCCAAGCAACATTCTCAGAATCCAAAAAGAAACACAATCAACTCTTAACTACAGATCATCCGCTATCACTGCAAGAAACTGATTCTGACATCACTAGTCCTTCGATGTCCATTATATTTAGGCTTGCATTTACTGACAAAACATACCACTACAGTATAGCTATACTTGTACTTCTGCTACTAATATTACTTTCCTTGTATTTTCTTTGATGTCACTGTTTCAGTGTCTTCAGTGTAAGTGCAGCCGTGTGCCCATCACACAGTTTTTCCCTCAAAGTTTCTTCACTGAAGATTTCAGCGTCAGTGGCTTGAAAAAGATTTTTTTAAATAATACTGTCAATACATCTCTTTTACAGGCAAGTTCTCTTAAACTTTCCAAATCTGCACTCAATAGTTATGTATGTACTAAGCTATTTGTACAAGGCTGTTTCGTGTTACAAATGTTAAAATGTTGGGATACTTTTTTTTTTTTTTTAAACTGGATCTTTACTACAGCAACATTAAAAAAGTATCATGGAGTAAAATGCGGCGTGATATTTAATTACTCTCACTAGTATGTTGATAACTGGTGTGTAGCTGTCTTTATACTGTTTCAGAAAACCTTTAGTTAAATGCTGATGCATTAAATGCATGGGAATTTAAAGTTTTCCTCCCTTTATGCCAATGTGTAAAGGGAATATAGTAGCCACATACTCTCTTTTACAACTGACTTAGTCTGTGGTAGCTTACATAAAGGCGAAACCTAACAATTTAGTTCAATCAGTCATTTTCATGAGTTTTCCTTACCTTATTACAATATGGACATTCACCAAAGATGACATTAAAACTCTGTCTGCTAGAAGGAAGACTTTGTAGCCACTGCAACATAAGTAAGTGGATTAAAATTCACATTTGTTCCATATCAAATTTAAGAACAATCTATTACCAGGGTTTTTTCCAAACAGAGTTCAGTTGATCAACACCTGACACGGGGTGTGTCAAGTCAGAGTCTGTATAATCACAAAGTGAGGCAGGTTCCCTTCCACAGGGAGCCTATTTATGAATTGTGGCTTAGGAGAGAAGAGGAAGCACAGTGACTGCTGTAGCACTCCTTTAAAGGATTTTGCTTCATCTTAAATTTCAGTGGGCAATGCTTACATTCTAGACTCTGTCAGTTAATGAGCAAGTCTGTCCCATTAATTATTTTACCTCATAGAGGCAAGCCTGGTGAAAAGGTTGTCCGCATCGGGGATCATCACACACTTGATCTGGAGTAGTGCCATTGAGTCGATAGGCATAGCAGATTCCACAGTCCTTAGCAAAATCCTTAAAACACAACATGTTTTAGCTTGCAGTATAACTGAAAGGAAGAAATAGGGCTGGTAACACAGAAAACACGTTCATCTATTTGTCTTTGCTTTTGCGGTTTTTGTTACTTAGAATTACTAAGTATTTTGCCTTCAATATATATGTTTACACCATTATGGCATAAAGAGTGAGATTACGTGCCGGACGTACAAGACTTTAGTAGGTTCTATTTTATCTTCTCACTGAATTACATCGAGTTTGACAAGCATTTTCATACTCTTGGGCCCCATTGTTTCTTTTTTATTAAACACAATGATTTGTCATTACATTTGGACATTAGACACGAGACCTCAGTCAGATATTAATTTAAAAATTTCACAAGTTGAAAGCAAAGCTAGTAAATACAGCGTTGTGAAAAATTAATTCCAAGTTTGTTTGAAATGCACCAGTATTTGGACGGCCTCTTGTCCCCTCTAAGGAGCTCTGCCTAATTAGAACTTAAGTCATCAACATCCGTAACAAGAGTGTTTGGATTTTCCACATCTCATTAGCTACTCTGGAACTTCCTCTTTCCCTTTTAATAGTGAAGCCTGTTATTAATCGCCTTACTGCTATGAAGGCCACAGGAAAGTCTGCACCTCTAATCAAAGGTTAACAAGCTCTGACAATTGTTGCTTGAAGTTCAGAAGTCCTTATGACAATATATTAATCCAATTACCTCTCTTCGAAGTCTCTTATTTTTGCTGGCAGTTATAAAGTGACTATTTAAATTTTACTTATTCAGAAATAACGACTGATGATTAACAAAAAGCAACTTACACTTTTTTCTAACACAGCACGAGATGGAAAATCAATTTCTAAGAGGTCTTTCAAGTTTTGTAATAAACTGATTTCTGGATCCCTGCAGGTGGGAGAGAGGGTGAAAAAAGTCAACACTAGGAATGGCAAATACCATTTCGGTTTCAAACCTGTATTATTAAAGATGCTTACCATAAGTGCATATTGTTGTTCAGCTTAATTCTCAAAGGGTTAACCACTGCAAACAATGTACATAAATAATTACATCATCTTTACAATCCCCTTCGCTCCCCCACCCAATTTAACCTCTCATATTTCAGCACTGAAGGGGAAGGAATAGGTCAGGGGTTCTTTAATTACTTAAGGTACCCAAGTCAAAGACTGCTCTTAGTTTTCAGTTTGGGGAATTCATTACACTAATATTTAAAACATCATACTGTTGAAGATACGATCGTAGTTACCTTAAAAAGTTGGTAAAAAGCTGTGGGACACAGAATGAGAGACTTAAATATTCCCAAACACTATTAGGACTTATGTAGTAATTTTTTATTTTTTAAAGAAAATTATATTAAAATATAAACACAGTTAGGTAATCACCTGTAGGGGACAGAGTTCCCTCCAAACTGTGCTAGGAAAGCACTGGAAAAAAGTGTCACTCACAGAGCAAACCAGCATGCTATGGATTTAGGCTGTTAAAAACCCCAGCATCTACTGTGTAACACTCTCCTACACAAGTATTCAGCTTAATTCCTGGCTCTGCTTAAGTAAAGTTTACCCCAGGAGTCTGACATAGCTTACGCTACTATCTGCTTGCCAGAGATCAGATTCTAGAAGAGAAACAAACAGTGTGTGTCTGCTGCCTTACCGTGATCTGCTCCAAGAAAATAACACTCGGGGAGCATGCTTGGATGCCGAGGATCTACCTCTATGGTCACAGAGACATTGTTCCCTACAATAAGAAAGCAAGTAAGTCATAGGGGAAGCTTTTCTTTGCAGTCAAGTATTTGAAAATGGAAACATTAACCTTTTTTTAAAAGCAGTTTTAAATTGGTTAATTCAGGCTGTTTTTCATTGCAGTAAATGATTAAAAAGTTGGTAGGTATCCAAATTAACTGTACAAAATATTAGTATATATTAAATATTTAAATTTCAATGGACTGTAATTAAAAATAGCAACTGATTAAAAAAACCTGCCAGTCTTGCATTTCTTTTAGACTAATCTTAACCTAACACTTAGACTTGTTTCTGAATAATCAAACTCAAGCTGGATGACATAATCCACTTGAAATCTTAGTGAAATTTTAAAGGTAGTAGGGAAGTAATTGTTATTAATTCCTCATTATCTTTTACAGTCAAAGAGAGAAGCATAAAGACCCTATTAAGCAGTAAAAGTCCGTGTGTCCCCCCCCAGCATACTCCTGGACTGAGTGAACAATGGCATATTTTTGAAATAGCAAATACTTTTTCTTTTACAAGATACCCCATCATCCTCCTAAGGTCTGCTATTCATAAGGGGTAAGCAGCTCAAAAATGTTCTGGATCCAGGTTAAAAACCTCACAGCAAATTCTCTTCTAAATAAAACCAGGTGAAACCCAACATTTTTTGTAATAAAGAGGTATGTTAGGCTTGCCCTCCTTGAAGGGAGGAATGACTGAAATCAAAGTTTAGTCATAACTGTTGTTCATCACAATCTTCAAAGGGCTCAAAGCCTTGTACTGCCCTCCATTGATGTACCGTGAGGCGCTTTTTGAGGCGCTTCTTTCCTTTTCATTGGTCTGTGTCAAAGTACAGCAGAACCAAGATAAAGCCACCCTGACTGCACGCACACACAAAAAAGAAGTGTTGTCCAACCCATGTCATTTTAGCCAGTTGCTGAACTTTTTCTGTCCCTCCCTCCACCCCCAATGAAGAAGCAGCCTCAGCACCCCACCAGCTCCTTTCCTTCTTCAATCATTCTTGCCACCGGTTTCAGGGACAACATAGGTCTACTTTGGTCCATTGTATGTTCTCAGATTTCTACAATGTGCTATTGATATTTTGGATTTAAGCTAAAAATCAGAACTCTTCTTTCAAAGATACACTCCGCCCTCACCCCCCATTTCTAACCTCTGACAGTGGCAAGTTTCTCCTTTACAATTACAAGACTCCTCATCCTATATATATTAAGACCTTGAAATGCCAGCCATCAGCATGTGAATTAAGGTACTTTAACACTGTAAGCCTCGCATTTCCTCTCTTCTCGTATTTCTTTGTCCTTTCCACCTGCCTCTTTTAACCCCCTTTTCTCCCTTTTGACTGCACTCTTAACATTCCCTTCACTCTTCCAGGACAGGATCAATCTAAAGTAATAAGCTGTTAAAAACCCCCTGGAATTTGTGAACAAGGGCTTCATCCAAGCTGATTTTTTAAAAATAACTGATTTTTCTCGAGTTATCATGCAAGTCCTCAGTTTTTGACAGTTACATGTTCATAATTTACAAATACACAATATTTCCTGCAGAAACTTTCATTTTATGTGACACCATAAAGTTGTAATTAATTTTCTGAACAAGTTTAGTATTCTCTGGGAGGTTATTTTTTTAACTATACAGAATAAGAGAGTTGTGTCTTGTTGGTTTTAAATGCTACCTTTCATTTTCCTAACACCAACAAGCACCATCTGATTAGATAAGCAAAGCACAACAGCACCCTAAGTTTTACTTCTCAGACCCACTGTATTCCTTCAAATCTTTTCGTACCTATTGCAATTCTTCTTGCTGTAGCACTCCGTGTGGGATTTTCTGGCTCAAGCACCCATGTCTTCCCATCAATTTCATCCATGGCATCCCAAAATTCTTTCAGCGATTCTAATGCCGCCAGGAACTGATTATAAATGTCTATTAAAGAGTTCTAAGAAAAGAAGAAATTTAAACAAGTTTCATATAGCTTCCACCTACAGCCATCAGAATATTTCAAAAACAAACTGTAGGTAATTTAAGAAGTGTTAAAATCTAGTTATGTATCCAATTGTATCATGGTAGCATAAAAGGTTGAACCTCATAGTTTTTTTGAAACAACACAGTGTTGTATCCTGAGTACAAATAAGTACTCTAATCCTGGTAGTTCGTGATATACATGCATCATACCTGGATTTGATAGTGTTTTATACTCCTTTTCAGAAAACTTTTCTGAAAACTGGTAACAACTATTAATTTGCCTTGTAACAAACTACTGTAAAATTAAAGTAAAAATCATCATTATCTACTGTTAAACTTCTAACATTCTGATATTTTGTCTCTACTTCAGCTGAGCAACATGGCAGTAGTACCAAATATAAATACACAGAAATACCCACATAACTAATGTGGCTTATTTATTTTTTAAAGACTCTAAGAAATATAGCCTAACAATGGCATAATAATTATCTCAAAATTAAGCAGTATAAAAACAGGTACTTAACATTAGATTTCAAGCCATGTAAGTATGGTAAGAGAAGAAGAAACCGTCTAATAATCAGAGGATTACACTCAAGGGATTTCAGTATTTGAGAGTGGATTAGATGGAATCAGAAAAATCTTTCATTATACAGGAGAATATACAGAACAGCAATGCAAAAGAAGTCTTCTTAAAATCATCACTGAGCACAAGAGAAGTAACTATTTCTACAGGGAAGGACTTATCCAAGCAGAGAAAACACTCAGCAGTCAAGTTAACCCCTTTCCAAATGCAGATGCCCAGAGGGTACAGAACATGAATTTAGGGAACCGAAAGGAGGTGAAGGATGCACGAGGAGGAACAGAACAGAGAGGAGTTCTATTTGGCGTAATGCCCCATACAGGTTTTGAGCCTGACGTCAGAGGGAATCGGCGGAGGAACTGGCAAGTGTCCTGACCTGACCAGCAGGAGAACAAGGAGCCATGAGAATGTGGCTTCCTGGGGAGAGACGAAGCTACGACAGGAAAAAAGTGAAGGTGTCAAGGAACTAGACAAGGGCGGCAGTGAAGAGAGATCAAGGGTGGGGGGAAGCGTTTTGGAGACAAACTCTTCCTGGATAACTTCCTTCTCAAATTGTTTGGTAGTGGGAAATTCAAGAGTGGAAAGAGAGGAATCATTTGGGAGCACCGAAGGGGATTTTGGAATCGTTTACACAGAACACAACTGACCAATTAAACGCATGAGTAAAAGCAGGAAGGATAGGAGAGAACGGACAGGACTTCCTTCTTCAATTAGGATAAAGAGATGGTAACATATGTTCTAAAACCCCAAAAAGATAACACAAAAATATTTCAGGTATCTTTTGGCCTGGGAAAGAGTTCTTGGGGTCAAAAAGGAAAAGCAAAGCAAGTGATCAGTTCTTAAAGGGGTTTTTTTCTATAAATAACACAAAATATACATGGAATGGTTTCCTTTAATCTTTAGTGATTATGTTCTTCCTTTCTCACCTGGACAAAAAGAAGCAAATTATATGAACATTTTCAGATGAAGAAATATGATTTTTATATGTAATAAGTTTTTATATTTTACACATACATATTTTAGAAAGAAACGGTGTAGCTTAGAAATAAAATGCTACATTTTTTCCTGCTGTTATTAAATTATATTAAAGTAGGAAAGCACTTAAGCAGAAAAGTGTGAATACTGCCAATCTCAAAATGTAACGCTTATTATCTTTAAAAGCATTTTGTTACTTTTATAATACCTGAAGTGATATAATAGTGTCAGTCACTTAACCACATCTTAGAGTATAATATCTTCATCTTAAGTACTATTATTTCCAGTATTTTAATAATTTTCACACAGTCCTGAAATGTGATCTTTTGTGCTCTGATGACACTTAAATTAATAGCATAATTTTCTGGTACTTGCAACAGTTGCTTTCCATTTTGATTTTTTACATTTTTCTATATCACATACAGATAAATCCTCTAATAATCATTTTTATCTTTATCTTCCGGGAATTCAAAGGGTTTCACTAGAAAAAAGAAACATCAAGGGATTATAACCCACAGATAAGTTTTAAAATCCAATTAATTTTAATACTAATTGTAATTTTTCAATGATGTTCCTTAAAAAGGTAGTTAAATCTTTTTTTTTAATGCACTGTTCATTTGATCTTATTTGCATGCTTCATTGATGTTGCCAGCTGTCTCCTGCTATATACATAAATGCATCTATAGCTATTTAAATACATCACATGCTTGTCATGCAAACCATGAAAACTGTAACGTTCCTTTTTATTTGATTAACCAACTAATTTTTGGTCATTGCCCAACACTCTTCCTAGAAAAGACTGCTATCATGCTTTTTTTTTTTTTTGTCTACACTACACCAAGGTAGTCACTAATAATGTCAAACAGCACAAGCTCTTTGTTTCTTGGTAACCTTTGTACAAATACATTACAATTTGTATGAAATATGTCAAATATTCTTTGGAAAATAAGACATTCATAATTCAGGATATCATCGCTGGGTGCCCTGACTCTAAAAAGCACTAGCAAAACCAAACTGGTTACTCCATCCTCTGTATCTGCTAGGGTTACCATGCTCATCAGGCAAGACATCCATTACAAAAACAGAGAACATTGTGGCAGTTTAATCTTTCACAACAACTTAAAACAAAATGAAGATATTTTTAATGTGTAGCATCAACCTTGCATTTTATTTCTAACTACTGAGGATACTGACATCAGCTGCCCATATGAGTAGTAATGACTAGCTAGCAGAGGTGAGGAAATACTAGTGCTGGAATAGTCACAAAACCTTAATGCAGTTTTTTGCACAAGTGGATATCACAGTCTTTTCTAACTTGATCACATACTACTATTTCCCCCCCCCGTGGGATCGCTGACATCTCTTGCAGTGGCTGGAAGGCGATCCCTCTGCAGCTGTGCTCCCTGATCCCCAGCCTGACCAGGCACTACTGAAGCCAGGGCAGAAGGCACCAATGAGGGCGCATGATTCTGACCAGACCTTCTCAAGCAAACCCACCGTGGCTGGGACAAAATTGTTTCTAAGATGAGGAATGGAGACTCCGCCATTCGACAAGGTCAAAAAAGTTTTACTGGTTTAGACTAGCAAACCAGCCTAAGAGGAGATGCGATGATTAGCTACTGTTACCTATGCTATGGCAGTTGTACAAGATACCGAGAGCTCGGGCTGGTTGAAAGACCCATCAAATGTGAATTCATACCAAATCAGCAGCCGGAGCTGGCTTCCTCTCTCCCTTAGAGCACTGAGGTCCTGAGAAGGCCCTCCAGTCCCAGGACACCTCATTACTTTCAAGTGGGAGCTTGGTAAGTTTTTGACAGAGATATGCTGCATGATTTAATGACCCCGTTCCCTTCGGCTCTCTACAATGACCACCACAGCAGCTGAGCAGCCCAAAAACATTATTGGGTTTACCATCAGAATGCATTTTTCACATTAGATGGCCTCATTCTGTGTTTTCATATGGAAAACCAAGAGGCTGAGAAAATGTTAGTTGGGAACACTCAGCTTGAGATCCTTTCATCTGGCTTTAAGAGGACTGGTTTTATTAGAACATCACCTCCCGTGACCATAGTCATAGCTTTAAACACTCAACACTTCTCCAGATTTTTCAAATTTCAAGTTGTGAGTGTAGAAAACAAAGAATACGATTAGTGACGACTCCTGAAAAAGCACTGTAAGTGACTCTCAGCACACAGAGTTTTCTCTCCCAACAAAGCATATATTCAGCCTCAAAGTCCTTGTTATTCAAGGCTCTATGAGGCAAAAATCTGACACATAGTGACACAAGCTATACCAACATAGTCCTTTGGACTGAACAGCAATTTCATGTTAATTTGGAGGGCCATGATTCTGTGATCTTCACTTCTGAAAACAGGTGTTTGTAGAGACTGGGTTAAATTGGTTATTTTACAGGAAAACAGACAAGTAAACATATCAACTGTGATGATTCCCCAGAAGTTTTCGAAAACTTTGACCCAAATGTTACCTTTGTGCTGTCAGACTACATGTATCCTCCATCCAGTTCAACAACTGGTAGGAGACAAAGCACTTACTTTGGTCAGTGAAAATCAGGTATTCTGGACCTTTCTGTTCAACCCTCTGCACTCTCGTCTCCATCTCATCACTGGTAGCTCTTCATGCCAACCCCTTCCTTCTTTTTTTACTTTACTCCAACTCAAACACCTTCCCAAGTTCACCCCTATTGCCCATACACTGTTTCCTGCAATTAAAGGATTAAGAAGGAATGGAAAAAAGTCACTCTACTCTTGGTCCTTATTTCTAGAGCCATAGAGGCTGGGAATAAAAAAAAGAAAGTCTTGAGTCTGCTCCTGCCATAAAATCCATGAAGCCTTTCAGTAACTCTTAAGAAGTACTACATGGCTATGCTGCCAAATTTCAAACACCTGGTCCAAATCCTCAATGGACTAAACATTAACCAAATAGTAGTAAAAATGTTCTAACTGAGGCAAATACAGCACAATTTATTATTTTTTTTTAAAGATTAAAATGTGATCATTATTCTGAGATTTTTTTTTTTGCTAAAATTCTTCCTCACACAACTGCAAAGCCTCCTAATGGAAAAGGTAAAGTAGCCTAAAATGCAGGTGCTGTTACTTGTTTGCCCTTTATGAATTCATAGGTAAAATACAGTTTAATAAAGCAAACAGTTGTTGACTGGAAAAGGGATCACCTGTATCACCTAAATAATTTATGATTCCTTAGATTTGCTTGGGAACTGTTCATTTCTCACAAACAGAACTTTAGCAATTTTCCCCCTCCTTAGCACAAATCAAAATGAGACACAACACTCTGAAATCTTTATAAAGTGTCTTGTCAACCATCTCCATTTTTTGTATTTATAGAGGCATATAAAACTGGTGTCTGTGAAGCTCCTTTGCTAAGAAAAAGCACAATTATGATGCATTTTACTGTGTTTTCATCAAAATAACTGAATAACCTCTTTCATACCACTATACATTCTGAATCTTGTATTACTGTTTCATTGTTGGCTGGCTGCATGACCTCATTAGTCATTAATTTCCACTCTCATGACCTTCATGTAGCCAACCAGGTGGGCAGTGGTCAGTATAGAAACAATACCCTGATGTGAGGGCAGCAGAATATAGATGCAGTGAAACTGCAGACCCATGCTTACAGTGTATGCTAAAATGTGGAGACAGCACATTTATCTGGTTATTTAGAAAAAGAATATAACTGAAATAAGTAGATGTTCTTGCACTTGTCATTGAGAAGCACTCTGCATTTATTTGGCACTTATAACAGTAGCAGCAGCAGCATTGCCCTTGGTGCTGATTTCTTACTACTCTAAAATGTCTCCTCTGAGCCAGAATACACTGGCTGTTGCTGATCATGCTGTGAGACACCTGCACTGGCTACTAGGCTTGTCATGACGCACAAAACCCTACCATCTTCAGCTTGACATTGTGCAAGTTATAATTATTCATCCAAATGAATATGTCAGAGCAGCAGCAGCAGACCTCTCATCAGAGCAAAAGAAAAATACATCAAAACATTATCAACCCAGCAGGAAGACAGGGACCATAAGGAAAATTACCCATTTTTAATATGGATGCCATAAAGCCATGTCTATTATTATACGGAGGGGAGGGGAAAAAAAAAAAAAGAAAAGAAAAGAAAAAACCCCACAAAACAACCACGCAACAAACCCTCAAGTTTGAAGTCCATGAGCACTGAAAAGAACCTGAAATAGGCAACAGCACACACAGGGGGGTGAAAAAAAAACATAAAAAATCAATTACCTGAAATTTATTTATATTTTCTTTCATAGGTGTTTAGATTCTAACAGTGCGATTGCATAAATTTAATTAAGCCTTGTTGGTTTTTACATTAAAGATGACCAATAAATATTAAAATTTAAGACCTATCAGTATCAAAATTTCATGTTACTTTACTAGAAAATAGGTATAGCATGGGGGTTTTGCCTTTTAGGAACCAAAACTTTCAACCACTTGAGGACCCGCTAAATTCTGTTACCAGTGGTGTTTCAGTGTTACCTAAGCTTAACCCTTATTTTACCATGGCGTGAAGACTGCTCACTGCAATGATTTCTATACATTTTGAAAATAAACACAATTTACACAACTACTACAGACTTTTTTTTCCAGAAGTGTTAGGTTCATGTCACTCCACAGATAAGGTCAATTTTCAAAAAAGACTACAACTAAAGCATTTCTACCAGCAGAATGCACAGGTTGCTGGTATTTGGTTCAGTATTAAAGCAGGCTATCAGCAGCTAGAATTAGTATCTCATGATTTCAAAACCTGGTCTTCAGTTAAATACAAACATCTATTGTTCATGTTTTCAAATAGTTCATAGGTAATTCTAACTGTAAAAAGATTTTAAAATCTCAAGCATCAGAATGTCATATTTTTAACATTAGATTTTTACTTGGTTGTAGTGTCAATATTAATACATTTGCTCCCATCTTTAACTTGTCAGAGGCTGCTTCATATCATGTTTTTCAAGAACATTTCATTAAAACACAAGGCCAGCTAGTAGCTTTAAAATTACAAACCGTAAACACAGAGAAGTAATGACTGTCAAGGACATTTGAAATGTTGTTAATTTGAGGCATCATAAATTGCAAAACTGTAAAATTAATAAAATACTATTAAAAGTATGTATAAAGTTTGAGGTTAGAAACAGCACTTGAAATCCTGCCTGTAGTATATGGAATCCAGTATAATTTAAGGGAAAAACAGTATCTGTTTAAATTGTTCCAAACCACACCAGAGAATCAAACCCTAAAATTACACGTGAAACTAAATATATTTTTTACTTGCAATGGTCCCTTCTTGCAGTTAGTTCCTCAAGCTCTCATATTAGGGGATTTGAGGGGACACACAGAACCTTGAGCTTTGCAGTCAAAATTATATGCCCGTCCTAAAATCATTCTGATGCAACCTTTCAGCCATGTTCCCTATGTAAATTTAGTACCATAAAGACAGGCTTTATTAATGGGTAGAAATCCTCACAACAGTTAGAATTATGAAATGCAATCATTTATGTAAAATCTATTTTCCTGAATTAAATGGAATTAAACATCAACTATTTTCTAGAGATAATTCAAATTAACTTACATATAAGTGGCCACATTTAAATCCATTTAATCAAGTACACATGCTCTATTAAGGAAAAAAGATACATGAAATAATGCAAGAGACACTAAAAAAAGACAATGGCTTTTGGTTCTTTATATTAACGATATCAGTTAAACTATGAAATTGGAATTCTATTAAGTACTTTTCTGTTGTTCTTTTGATTGTAACTGAAAAGGTTTTGTTATGTTATGAAAACTATATAGGATAACAAACTGGGGGACCGCCTTTTTTAAGTTCTGTCAACTTTAGAGGGTGCTTCTTTTCTATAAGACAATTGTTTCTCACACATATATTTTCCCAATCTCATTCCTAAAGATATTTCAGCTGTAGGAACAGCTTAAGAAAAAAAACAGCCAGTATGAGTGCAAAGCATACAACATGCAAGGTATAGCTATGTGGCAAGGAAAATACTTAAAACACTATCATAAGGAATATAGAGTTCAGTATTATTACATTTACATAAGGATGTATAAAAGTAAAATGCACACAGTGAAAAAAGCTGGAGTTAAAAAATAAAGTCCAACCCCTCATTACCACCTACATATTGTGTAAGTATCTCAGTTATTAAAAAAAGAAGTACAGTACAGCAGTTTACCTGTGGCATCCAAGAAATAGCAAACTGAACAGGAAAATCCACAAGGCAATCTGGTGGTTCTGTTGGATACTGAGGGAGGGAAAGAAAATACAGTTTTTCTTTTCTTTTTTTTTTTTTCAGTTTAAAGTCAGACTAATACTTAGCTGCCAAATTTGATAACGAAATACAAGCATTTCAAGCATCTTGAGAACTTGGCTGTTGGAGGAAACAGTATGTAAAGCATTTTCAGAAATAGTTATGATTGTTAATTATCATTTAAAGAAGAAATCTACATGTAAACAGTTTTTATATATCGTTTTTTTGTAAAGGCAGGAGAATCACAGTTTTCTGTGTTCAGTGTTCACAGATACATTAAAAAAGAACTTAAAACATCAAATATTTAAAAAAAAAATTCTCCTCAATTACCTGTACTGGATAGGAAAGGTTAAAAAAACCCAAACAACCCTTTCATGGGTCAAGAACTAATTTTCATTTAAACTAAAATATTTGCTCTGATTGGCAACATTTTTTGTTTTGAAACTGAAAGTAATCAGTAAGTATATAACTATTTAGAAAGAGATTAATAAACACACACTCCAAATTAAACAACTCCCCACCCCCTGCCCCAAATTAAAAGGTATCAATGAGGAAAAAATAGCTGTATTAAGAAAACTGAAGCTATAAAAGGTTTGATAACTCCAAGCACTCGCTATTCATTACACTAGTAAATCTATTGCTGTTCAGCATCCAATATGAAGTCTGTGGAGAAAAAAAATGGTATTTTCTGAAAAATAAAGTAGCAAAGGAAAGAAACATCTAATTACAAATAAACTATGTCCTTTATAAAAGCACCGATCCAAAATTTTATTCACCTGAGAAGTTGCCTCCTTTAGTCCTATGCAACCTTTCAAATTCTACCAATGATGTCCACAGCAGTTTTATAGAAATTGTATTAGTATTGCATCAACTGCCAAGACAAGAAGATGTTACAGAGAATCTTATCTGGGGAGACATATGAAAAAAAGTCCCAGCTTCCTCACAGAATTAGAGAGCTAAGACAAAGAGGCAAAGTTTAGCTGTGCTGCCTCCCATAACCATTCTCCATCCAAAGTAAACCTCAGACATAGACACTGTCCTTATTTATCAGACATCAATCAATTTATCAGTTTTTTAAATGTGTCTTTATTTTATGTAAAATGTAATTCTACAGTACTTAGTTTCAAACGGTTCTCTATGGCAAAGAGCAAAAAAGAGACACAGCTTCCCTAGAGCATCCATTCTTCACTGCTTGATTTTAATAATAATTTACTGGATTTATGATTTTACAGAAATTTGTTTAAACTTGCTTTTTAATTTCCCTTCATTTGTGGTTTCTGTTAGGCATCCACTTTCTGAAAACAACTCCTATAACTTGAATATCTTGTGCTTTCCCATTTTATCAAATTGGTGGCAGACAAACAGCAGTGAGAGAGCAAGAGAAGTGAAACAACCAGTTTGGACAGGAGGCGGTTACAACTTAGAAATGTATAGCCACAAAAGCTGTTACAGTTTCTTTTATTGTAGCGTTACTGTTCATGTATTGTATTGTAGTGTTAGTGGTTTTGTATTGTAGGTATTATTTTTCATGAAATACTTCAATGCTTGCATAGAAATAAACTTGTTTTCAATGTATAAAAGTACGCCTAGAACAAACTAAGTCAGAACAATTTTTCCGTAGGATTGGTTTTAGGACTACCTCATTTAAATCCCAGCAGCACTAGCCAATTATGTGTTTACTTTCTTGGTAAATAAATTCATTTTATGCAGTATTTTGTAGGATGCCTTTGAACAAGTGCTTGCAAACAGATTCTAACTTTATATTACTTTAAAAAAAAACAAACCAAAAAAAACCTACAGCACATTTTCCCCGCATTTTTTAGTCAAATTTTCTTTAAGAGCACAGTTTTGTACTGTGCACTAGATAATTGCCAAGAACTATGCAACAATGATTCTGTACATATGTACATAATGTTTTTAGACCTTGCAGAATGAAATCCTATATAAAATAAGGTGAATTATTCCCCAGGAGACAGTATTTTAAAATACTATACCAGAGCATATCAATGACATCATATGTTATTACAGTTACCTTCAAATATGTATGTCAGAAACCATCCTATTATTCTTTAAAAAATTTAAGCAATTGTTGAACAAAATATTTATATTGTATTTTTGAGCATGCAGCTAAATTTATCTAGAAAAAGTATTTTCACAACCCTTGCCAAATCATTCAGATGTTTACCAAAGCATCTTGATTACTACATGGTATGCAAATTCTTGCAGTGGCCTATTTGAATTCTCAGATCTGAAATGGCAAGCACCCAACCCACTTCTCATGCAATACAAAATGAAATCTGATAAATAAAATGCAATGTATTTAGTTTCATACTTGCAAAGATGCATGCTTTGTTTTCAGAAAACTTCTCTAGTTATTTATTTAAATTGTGAATGGATAAAGATTTCTAGACCAGGCATTTTCAACCAAATAAATTGGAAAACTATTTCATGAAATGTAATCTGAGCATTAAACAATATATCTTCTTACGAGGTTTAAGCCTAATAATTTACAAAAGTCAAAATTGTGTAGCACGTGATTTGGCTAACATACCTAACTATGATATGACCATTCTCAATTCTTCCAGGTTTGAATTGATCACCCCATTTCCTAGACACTTCTGTTTTGAAAGGACAGTTCCTAACGCAAAGCACATAAAACAAGGATAACAGGTGGAAACATTTGACAGCGCTTTAAGGAAGAGTCCTCAAAATACATCCAAACCGTTAAGAGTGACAGCAAAGGAATATTTAGGTGATTATCTGAATACACATGATAACTTTATGAAAAAGAATTTACTAAATCACTTATTGAAGACCTTCTTCCTGAAAACATTGTCAGCAGGCTCATCAACTCATTTCACTGTATGGCATCCATGAGGGCAAGGCTGAACAAAACCATCTGCCAGAATACAGACAAGAGGCAGCAATATATGCTGGGGAGGAGAGGTTTAGCTCAGATAGTAACCTTAATCAAAGAAACAGCATAACAGAAATAAACATACTTTTATTAAAGCAGGTTATAAAATGAAATCCCTTCAAAAAATACTTCAGCAAAGTCTTTTCAAGTGTATTAGATATGTACATGAAGGAAAATCAAATCCCCATGTCACCAAAACCACGTTTCACATATAAATTTTCTCTTGTGGCAAGTTTAAATGCCAGACATGGTTTAAAAAGGACAAGCAATTGATCCTTCATCATAACAATCACTTGGAGAAAAAAAATAAAAAATTGATGATTACTTGTTGCAATAGACAAGTTGGATAATCTAATCTTTTTATTACACTATATCCTTAGTTTTTAGATGGTGCTCTCTTCTGCTATGAGGAGTCTCAACTTCAGATATTTATTACTATAAAAAAAATACACAAGTTTTTACAAGAACAGAAGAAGGTAATCTTGATTCCCCTCACAGTTCAGTGATAAGTTAAAGCTAAACAGAACCAGCCAATGCGTAAGTGTAATAGTGTTTGAACATGGCAGTTGCTTGGTAAAAATGGGTATTGCACTGTATTTTTTTTCCTGCACTTTTATGCTTCCAAATAGTTAAAATACTTCAGTGGTCATAAAATCAAGAAAAAACTTTGGGGCAACAGGCTGCACTTAATTTCTAGTGTCATACTAAGTATGGGATAGCAGGTCCCTTATAAACAATGACAATACAGTCTGGTTACTCTCTTCGCACATTAAATAGACCATAATTGTACTTCCTGATATATTTTCTCCATTGATGTATTTAATAACAGACTGACTAGCAAATTAATTATGCATTCATTACTCTGTGCAGGTAGGATAGTTTCACTCTTTTTTTTTTAAATCCACTTGTCCTGGTTTCAGCTGGGATAGAGTTAATTGTTTTCCTAGTAGCTGGCATAGTGCTATGTTTTGGGTTCAGTATGAGAAGAATGTTGATAACACTGATGTTTTCAGTTGTTGCTCAGTAGTGTTTAGACTAAGTCAAGGATTTTTCAGCTTCTCATGCTCAATACATAGACTGGGGGGAGTTGACCTGGGGGCGGATTGCTGCTTGGGAACTAACTGGGCATCGGTCAGTGAGTGGTGAGCAATTGCATTGTGCATCACTTGTTTTGTATATTTCAATCCTTTTATTATTATTATTACTGTCATTTTAATATTGTTACTATTATCATCATTATTTTCTTCCTTTGTGTCCTGTTAAACTGTTCTTATCTCAACTCACAAGTTTTACTTTTTTTTGTCTGATTCCCTCTCCCATCCCACTGGGTGGGGGGGAAGTGAGTGAGCAGCTGCATGGTGCTTAGTTGCTGGCTGGGGTTAAACCACAACACCACTTTAGCAACCTCAATTCCCAAAGACTACTTTTTTCACAGGCTCCTTTTTCCCCTCTGAGGTAAAATTAGCTTGTCTTATGTAAAACTAAAATATCCTGGTATCTAAAGGAATATAGGACATCTGCAAAGGAGAAATTTAATCTTACAATACCATGCCCACTCCTCAGCCCTTCAAGATTATTACTCCAGTTGATGGACCAAGGATAGTCCCAAACAACAATGTTTAGACACTTTTGGATATACTTTTTCCCCTGGACTAACTTTTTGAAGACAACAGCTATTACTATACAATTGTCACCATACAGCCTGGATGTTCATAGTTTCTGATAAGAGATTTATGCCTTGAAATGAGAAATTTTATGAAAAACAGTGCAATTTGAGTTCAGTTCTAAGTACCAGGAAGAATTAAAATTTTTCTGCTTCTGCGCACACCATGCATTTGCTTTGCAAGCAATGTCAAAATCAGCCAATTATTTAGACTAAGAAGAAATTTTTTTTAACATAAGGAACTCACTTCTGTAGTCAGTTTTTCATAAATCTTTATCTCTATAGCTTTAAGAGTAAGACTTGCTAAAGAAGAAACCCAACATCCTCTAATTCTTGATATATGCATAGTCTCTGGACTGAGTGATAATGAATGAAAGTCTTCCAGATGGCTTTGTCTGTAATCCAGTAAAATAACTGCAATATCATAAAGTGTTTTTCATGTGATGCACAGTTTCATATGAAGAGATTTTTACATAACCATAATGGAATATTAATTTTAAATATAGTTAAAGTCTGAAAACTCTCTATAAAAAAAATTTCTCACAAACCCCCCCACCGTTGTCTTGCAGAATAGACATACTAACAAACAAACCGACTCTCTAAAATCCTTATGAATTAACAAAAATCCATTTATTTCAAGGAAGCCTTAAAATATTTTCTCCCACATAAATTCACCTTTGCATTTAACTTCAGAGTCATGAGATGCTGTCGACCACAAGAGTCTTCAGCCTTTAGCTTGATTGTGGTAAGACCCGTATCCACATATGCAACTCTGAAACGGAAAAGAAAACTAACAGCATTGTAAATAGTACAGTTTGGAATGTCTGCAATACTCTTATTAGTCTGTTACAATATTAATCAGAGGAAGTCCTATATGCCAACCACTTCTGCTGTTCTAGATTTACTGCTGTTAATACACCAGTCTACTGCTTAATGCAGTCATATATCTTTGGGTTATTTACAATGTGTGTCAAGACTCATGCTGTGGTCAGTGAGCACTGTGTTTCAGTTTTCCATCACTGGAACCTTTGACACACACAGCATGTTCCTGTCAGCCTCTACTTATGTACACATTAAACTTCCTGTCAAATCTTTGATCCATTTCTGCAGTTTCTTACTGTATGAGACTTTTATGCTCTTGATTTGCTTTTCTCTTCAATGAAGTTCTCTTTTATTATCAATACTATTATTGTGGAAAATTCAGCGGATATTGGTTCATATTCCAAAATTGATTTTCTGCAGAAAATAGTAACCAAACAGGTACAAAATGAGTTATTTATGATGATTTGCCTTTGTTTCATGACAGTTTTACACAGTATACATGCACCCAAGCAAGTAGCAAGTACGTACTAAATGTAAATAAGTTTTACAACTTCTGACATAATCACTGACTCTTTGCTTAAGATGTCACTTATTTGTGCTTCCACAACAATGAAGACGAATACAATTGTAAAACACATTGTTCTCTGGAAATATGTTCTGCTGAATAGCTTCAACAACTGCCAAGAAGGTTCAAACTTCTCCATATATTTACCAGTGAACTAGGCATATGGATATTTTGGCATTTTTACTACGTCATTCTTGTGTGAAGATAAAAAGCAGTCCAAGATTATTGTACAACTATCACCTAGACTGATGGAAAGGCCTATCACAGTTCAAAGAAAGCATCTGCTCACTGGCCTAAGTAACATGGGGTTTTTTAAACCATTAGGTATTAGCCCAGTCACTCAAGCCAGCATGCTGGGAAAAATGGTTCTCTTTCAAGTGAAACTGGCAACAGAGTTGCAGAAGCCTGTACAAGAAAAAGTAGAGGTACAGCAAAGGGTGTGCACATTCCTAGGAAGGAAGCGAAAAGAAGAAAAGAAAATTATCTATGTAAGTGACATAGCCTCAATATGAGGGAACTGAAAAATACAGTGGTAGTAGGTAGGGAAAGAGATATATTATTTCATGTTTAATACTGATTAACTTTAATGCAATATTAAATAGTCCTACAGATTCCTGGGAGTATTTTGACACTCCTTTTCTCCACAACAGTTGAAAGAAATACAAGTCTTGATAAAAGTGTAATTCAACTGTAGTCAATTAAACTCAATTTATTTAGAAAGAATTAGAGCATTCTTCCTCTAATGGGAAAAAAAAAAAAAATCATTACTCCCGCTTTGTTCCAACTTTACCTCAAAATTATATCACAGAGTTTTATAAAGATAGGAAATTACCTATATCGCACACCTCCACCTACTGTTGCCTGGGGTGGGGAAATCCTAAATCAGCAGCTAAGGCACAGAATGGTTACTGCAATAAAATATATAGCAGTGCCCAAAATAAAGCACAACCAGTGCCCACATCAATGCACTGTGAGGTTAGATAGCAAAAGAGAATGAAAAAATTAAAGGGATACTGTCAAGGCATTTAGGATTTAAAATTATCTGTTCTAACAGTCATCTTGTTTGGACCAGTTCACTCTTGAGGTGTCAGAAAGGTATGGATTATTTAAATTAAAAATCAAACATTTTTGCAGTTCCTTGCTCCTTAGGTGAGAGGGAACAAGATTAAAAAATTAGGTTTTTTTTTTAGATAACAATGGACATATATATCTTAAAATTTATTTCTGAAATCCTTAAGGGTTCAGTACTTTTACAATTAGTTTAACAACCTGAGAGCCTCTAAAATAAACATACATACATGTGTGCACCTATTTATATATTTAAAATATAAATATATGCACACCATTATAGTAAAAATAGAAACAATGATTATGTTCAGTCGTATTTGTAAAGAACCTTCACATTCAGTTTTACTGACAGAATGTAAATTAGATAAACTTTAAAAAAAAAAGCATTTGGAAAAGCATTTTAAAAAAAAAGTAAGCATTATTTGCCAATAATGGCTACCTGTTTAATTATGTATTGAGGAATACATCATAAAACGATTTTCAAGTTCTGTCCGTTATTCATTTTTTAACATATTTTTAGTTTTAGAATTCATATTCATGCTGAGCTTGGAAATAACAGGAAAAAAAATGTTAAAAAAATGTAGATCATCACCACTATGAAGCACCCCTACAATCCAGATCAGTCTGGAAATTCTTACAACTTTTATTTAATTTTGACTTCAACAAGTTGCTGCTAGAAGACGACAACTATTCAAGCTAAGCAACACACCTTTTAAGTAGTATTCATTACAAACCATGTACTTAGAGGTTTTTTTAGTAAAACGTTCTCTTCACTTACAAACTTTTTCACAAACAGGAACTCCAAGGAATAAAAAACTCAGCCGACAAGTGGCATAGAGGGCTGAAGAATGCCCAGAATGAAAATTCATAGCTAGCCTTCCTTCTTCTCAGCAGAATGTAAAAACAGTAAACTGCCTCTGGGGAATGAAGGAGTATTCAATTTTCCATTTAGGATAGAAAAAAGGAACTCAGTAGCTTTGTGGCTACCTGTTCTGTAACACCACTCTACCACACTACTCTTTGGATAAGAAGAGATAAAAGGGTTAGTTCTGTAGGACTGGAGAAAGTTGGACAATGCTGTAAGAGTTGTATGAACTTCTTCCTATGATTGTATCAAATAAGGAATTGTTTACATAGGTGATATTTCAGTTATATAAAACTTCATTTCTCTGTAGGCTCCATCATTTTACAGAAAATAGAAAAAAATGCAATGACCATAAAGATGGAAAACTTCAGTTAAATCTCTGAAGTACTGTAATTCAACATAACACAAATGATTGAGAGCATACGACAAGGCAGGATTCCCTTGGAAATGGAGAAGGCAAAAGGAGAAGATACTTTCTATGAAAAAACTTGGCAAGTATCAAGCAGAAATGCATTGAGACTTCAGAGATCATGACTCACACTATGGACTTAAGAGATACTAGCAACCTTTATGAATCCACATGAGGGTGATAAGAGTCCTACAGATGTTTTATAGTCGATAATTTACCTTCCCAAGACATTGTCATTCAATCAACCAGGAAGATTATGAGGTAGTATTAGAAGAGCCTTTCCTACAGCTTAATACTATTACATGTGTACTCTCTCCCACCTCAGCTGATTAGGTTTGTGCTGGTAATTTTCCATGTTCTTAAAATGAGGAAGTATCCTTCTTTGAACTCCTCAGCTGTTAGGACAGCACTTAGTGTTGCCAATTTGGTACAATTTCAACCTGTTGAACTGTGACTTTTGTGTACAAGTATTTGAATATGAAAGCATATTCACCCTCCTCCATACCTAAATTAGGTCAAAGAATCAACTTTTCTGTATCACAGAGAAAGTGATTATATCTAATCACAGCAGCCTGCACATTTGCAATCTTCATTACAGTTTGTACTTTCAGTGGTTTAGGAGGAAACAGGTGTAAGATCATTGCAGACAATGTCTTCAATTTGTTTCTGAGAAACTTCACATATTCCTTAGATGAAAGCCATTAGAACACACTAAATTTGTGCCATACCTGAGAGCTTCTTAACTCACTCCAGAGGTCAAGCAACCATAGCCTATTGCTTTAGATTCTCTTTCAAACAAAATATCCTTCAGCTTTTCAGTTGGATTTGGAGGCAGTCAGCTTCCAGCATGACCCCAAACTCACTAGGAAAAACTAAATCTAGGGTCTACAACAAGCCAGTTCTTTTCTAAGAAAAATCCTGATAAGTAAAGCTGGAGGCTTCTCAAGGTGTGAGCAGTGTTTGATCCTTACTGCCAGTACTAAATGCAGGCTTAGTTTTGTGCTGAAAGACCACACCAGGATGTTTTTAACTAACATGCAAATACACATGACCTGCAACACAAAATCAGTCTAGGTTAAGAGGCCTTCTTAGTAGTTCATTATACTGTTAAAAGCACACTAGAATTAGAGGTGTAACTTACCAACGTACTTCAAATCACCTCTTTAGGTAATTATCCTTCCAACTCACAGTAAACCAGGTATGATCCTCTTATGTACAGACTAGCCCTTTGATTAATGATTGACTTCCCCAACCAAAAAACCCCAATCAAATAGAGACTTTATCTGTAACATAAGTCAATCAAGAGGTGTATGTTTAGTGACTTACATGACTACACTGGACAAAAGCACAGAGTAAGTTGTGTGTCTACATGAAGACCACATCTTTGCCTAGAAACTAGGTCAAATTCTGCCCTAGAAGCATGCTCTCTGACAAAACACTGATGTGCTTTTTAATAATAAACCACTGGATGTTTTGTATGTACAGCAAGTCAGAAGAAATAGCAGTTTTGAGATAAGCTACTAAACTGTATTTTCTAAGTTTATTTTTAGTATATTTAGCAATATACTGTATTTATATATCCAATTATAAATATAGTACATGTTATATTTATATTTATAAAGTATATTTATTGTGTGTCAGTGTCTATTTTGCTGGCATGGGCTTTTTTAAGGTTTTGCTTTTTTTTTTTTTTTTTTTCATTTGGGAGAGCAGGCATGATTCAAAATTTATTTCCCATGTATTTAGGAAATTTTAACTAATATTCTCAGACCTGATTCTGAGAAATTTGAATAGAGAATGTCATCAGCTGGCACAATGACATACTTAATAATAGAAATCACCGAAAAAACTTCAGCTGATTTAACAAAGATATTTTAAATCTTTAAATAAAAGTGGGCCTTCAAAGCAAATTCCTACTTAATGTTAATCACATATTATTTATTTATATATAAATCAGGTGAGAAAACTCAAAACTGTGATTAAACCCAAGGCTTCTTTATTTCATTTAGCAAAATAAACACTTGTTAAAGTTAACTTACCATCCAAGACTAAGATAAAAGTAGATTTGTCATGTTGAAAATCACAAACGTAGACTTTTTTCTTTTAACTTTCACTTTACTGTAATTAAGAAGTAGCTTTTCATTCAGAACTCTTCAACATCCTACAAAATCTTTCACCTTAACCCCTTGAAAGAAGGCACTGTGAGATTAATTGCATATTATTAGTTAAAGACAGCCTTCAAATATATTTCCTTAATGCCTCCCTACACAGAAACAACTACCTTCAACACCACAGAGATCTCCTGGAGGTTCTAAGGGAAAGGATAGAAATCAGTCCATTCCAGGCTCTCTTCTGGAGAAGTAAAAGACTTGGTATCAGAGAACTTGCCAGTGGTGGCACATGTGATGGCAGTTAAAGCCTTTCAAGTAAAAGTCTGCAAAACAGGAAGCTTTGCAGATTTCTGAAAAATTTCCACACGGACCTCATGCACTTGATCACAACTGTGTGTTCCTTCAGGTTTCTGTATGACGTAGGAGAACAACCTTGTTTTCTTCTGCAGGAGGATGAAATTAAATTTGTTGTATGAGCTCATCTGAGAGTATATGGGACTGAATAATACAATCTGTTTGCACTCATTCAGACCCTAATGAGAAGGCACCCAGAGGCAGCTATGTGTCTATTTGATTCCTCAACAAAGTCAAATATCCTTTGCTAATGTGACATTCTTTCTCATGGTATTAAACCATCCATTTTAGTTGGGGTGAAAAGATTCATTTCTAGTTCTCCTTCCCCCAGAAAAAGACCTGAACTGTCACATCTTGTTCCACAGATACTCAATTTGTAGTACAGCACATACATGAAACCATGTTCTTGGATGCACTAAGCCTCTGTCCTCAGGTGACAGTTTACACTTGTGCAGTAACCAACGTTTTTCCCACATGGAAATGCCCCCCTGCTACCCCAAATATGATCTGCTTGCACAGTTTTTGGAGACTAATTAATGCTTTTCAATAGCCCTCATTGCTGTTTGAGCCCATCTGGGTAGCAAAAAATATATACACATTTCTCTCTGTGGGTGTTACAAAGAGCTGGCTGTTTTGAAGTCCTGGATTTACAGCTTTCCAAATTCTCCCCTCCACTCACATTTCTTTTTTTTGTAGATTTACTTTTTTGTGGATTAACCATGTTATTCCTTTGTCTAAGGAGATCCTTGTGCTATGAAGAGAAAGATAGAACTGTTCTTTAAAAATAATTACTCTAAGTCTAAAAAAGGTATGAGCTGTTTTTATGAAAGCATAAAGGTACATGATGATCAACCATAGCATATGGGAATAGTTGAAAAAAACTATACAAAGCAGGAAAAAGAAAGAAGAAAAAGGAGAACTGTTAGAAGTTGTATTAAATATGTTTACTATGCCAAGAGTTTATAGGTCAAAGAAGAATTGATTTCTTAGTAGTAGCAGCATCTCACCTTTCAGCTCAGTTATTTGAGACTGTAAGTATACCTTCAGTTGATACAGGTTTGTTGGGGTTTTTTTGCGTTAAAAACAAAGCAGCCGAGTTTTTAAAGCAAAACCAGTTTTTGAACAGGATAAATTAACAGAACAAGTATATTTGATATGTTCAACTCACAAATATAAAAGAAGAACAGATATTCTAAAGATAATGCCTATTAAGAAATAAAATAAACATACTTATTCCAACCCAGTATTTCTAGATCTCTGACAAGACAGGAGTAGTATTCTGGTGGCCGTGGTATATGCAGGTCTTGTGTATTCTTTAAAGCAATTTCCTGTTTAAAAGAACATTAAAAACATCATTAAGAGAGATTTCAATATTTTTGCATCTATTTAGTCATGTGACTTTCGCAATTCATTCAAAAATATTAAGCTTATGTAAAATTAACTGTACACTGCATTTGTTTTGTTATAGCCTCCAGCTAAAGCAGACAAAGAAGCTGTTTGGTAAATTACTTCAGATACTGGTAATGAAAACATCTGCAATTTAAAAAAACCCCACAGATGTTGACAACATAGTCTTCAGATGCAAATATCAAATGTGCCTCTTTTTCAGCTAATAAATTTGAAGTCAAGCATCTTGACTGAAAGAACATTGCAAAAAAAGTTCTATTAAGCCCACAGCTGTCTCGTGGGCTCCACAGCCACAAAAGACGACACATATATGAAATTCCCCATATTATTTTTAAGTAGCTATATACAACTTTATATAGCAATTAAAAAAAAAAGTCAGTTTCTCAGTTTTAACATCATAGGATCCCAGAGAGTAAGTTTTGATACAGACACTCATCAAGTATGTCATGATGCCTCAAGAAGAAATTTTTATCAAAAAAGTAATGCCACATCACAAAGAAAAACAAAACCAAACTACATGTTCCACATTTGTGTTGTGCTACTTGTTCTTTAAAAGTGTACTTAAGTTAAAATTATGCTTACAGGGCAAATAAATAATAACATTTATAATAAAATTATTAATAATTTAAAATAAATTTAAATAAATGACATAATAAATAGAATTAATAATAAAATCAGTGTAACAATCATTTCTGCTCAGTTCTCCCACAGCATCTTCTGTTGTTTTTACTATCTGCACTGAGGATCACTATTTTACTATTTTGAATGCATTATACTTTCATTGCATTCTCATTTTCTGAGTGCTTGTGTATCCAGGCAAATAGATTGGAATAACTATTGTGAAATGTTCCAAAATAGCCACATGTAGACATTCTTTATTCAGTCCTATTCCAAGCACCTTTGCCTGCTTTAGTGGAATCCAGTTTGGCAGGGATTGAACCAATACTGAGGAAAGGCATTCCCAGTATAGAGCAGTAGCGTAATACCAGGGGGGGTATTTTTGTTGTTGTTTTGAAGAATACTTACTGTGTTTTATTTCTAAGTTAAGTAGGTTGTATGCCAGTATTCTTTACCAAGAACACTCATAGGATAATGTTTTACTAACAGACAAGAAACTGTCAGTTTCATGTTGTTAACTAAAGATTTTGCTACTCTTCAGTCCCAGATTAGAAAAAAACTTAAAAAAAAAATAAACAAGTCTCTGAACTATAAAAAAAAAAAGTGTTCTGCATTTATTGGTCAAGTTGTCACACAGGTGGAAGCACCTTCAGCAATCCACTGACTGTATAATCTTTTGTGTGATTATAAGCCTTCTTTACTATCTGGACAATACCAGATAGTAAATAGAAATAGAAATTCCAAGAAAATCACTGTAAAGAGGATGGCTCTATACTGAGATCCCTTGCCAGGATTTTAATTTTTTCTATAACACTTCAATTTCCAGAGAGTACAGTCACTTAAAATCCTAAAGGATATTTATACAAATATTACATGAACAGCATACATACAAAATCACCTCTTCTTAAAGAAAACCATAAATTCATCCACCAAACAGTAAACTGTAAAAAACCTAAAAGTGAAGCCCAAAGCTATAAGAAGATCCCATCTCCCACATATATATTCTGTCACTTACCAAAATAGTTTTCAGCTCCACCATAAAACTGACAAGATCTGGACAGCTGTGTAACCTCTGGAGAGAACACAGTATCAGTTCCTTTTCTTAAACTCATAACTTTTACTGGTAAACAATTTCAGTCTATCTATTTTTCTAGTTTTGTCAAACCAACTAACGTAAAAAACCCCAACTGCATACCACATGTTTAAATATTTCTATCACAGAACACATCTCCCAAAGTACAGGAAACTTTACTGAAAATTAACCATCACCTTCATCACATCATGTCACATTACACATTTATATAGTTTACAAAGACTTTACACTTTATGTATTTATGAACACTTTAGTCTTCACCAATGAGAACAGAAGCTTTAGAATCACTCAAAAACGTTTCTTAGTTCGTTACATTTCCTTCAGGAACTCTCCAGACCCGTCTGCTTTTAGATGCTGTACATGATTAAGGATCCCTGTCTATCTTCAGGTGTGGTACATGTTTACACTTCTGTTTCCTCAGCTCTGTATCTCTGGTTACTCAAAACCCTTGGAGTGCCCAGTCCGTGAGATACAGTGCCTCAACTAGCAGGTGTGGCAAAGATGCCTTCTTAGAAGCAAAATACTCTTTGTGACTGCAGGGCTGTTGTACCCTTGCTCCAAAGTTCTTTCTGGATAGGGAGGTTTAACTTAGATTCCTTGACTGTCTACAACACAGAATGAGCTAGATCCATCAATAATTAATGTGAATTCTCTTCTTTGCATTATGAACAGTTTGTAAAAATTAAATATATAAAAAAGGAAGAAAAAGGAAAAACAAAATCTGTTTCTGAGAGATTAAATTCCAGTAAAATGTCAGTAGACATTTATTAAAAATTGTTCCATCTCAATCTTCAAAAAAATAAAATAATTTACTAAGTTCTATCCCTCTTTCTAGATTGACCTGCAAATCCTCAAGCATTTCAAAATAAATCTTGCCTATACAATGAGAGTTCTTTAACACTTTTAGAATAGGTGTACAAGATTCTCAGAATTATTATAAATATACATTAAACAGAAACGGTTTTAAAAGTTGTATACCTGCTTTAAAATATGCTGATATCCATGCAGTATCTTCTTTAGGTGCCAGCTACACTCTATCCTAGACAAATAGTATTTTATATAAATTTTAAATTCACAGACATGATTTTTAGAAGAGATCAGAAAGTCTGCTACACAATAACATAAGTTTTTCTTTAAAAAAATGAAGTAAACAATACTTCAGTTTGAGTTTCATATTCGAAGTTATTTAAAACTTTCAAATGTCACTATCCCAAAGCCTATTAAAAATTAAGCATTTACCTACAAAAGCCTGTTCTTTGCCGAAGACAACAACATAATTCTTGCAAGCTAATATGACTTCATAAAATATACCAATATTTAAAAATGATATCCTGAAAATGTCAAAGTTACCTATAATGCAATTTTAAGTATCCAACCTAGAAAGTAATAAAGCTATCGAATACCGCATCTGTTCACAGTTCAGAGCAGACTGGCCTAGGCAAAAGTACAGAATACAATGTTAAGGACTAATCCATGTATGTGTGCATACACACAATACACCCCCCCACCCCCAAATTACTATGATAAACACTCACAGTATTAAGAACTGAGTTTTTAAAGAAAAGTAACGCAAATTAATATGTATTAACAGGAAAGAGAAAATGAAGTTAAAAGAACTATGCTAACCATCAAGTACATAATTGCTTAAATTTACAACTTTGCACCAAATTTTCTGTTTCCCAAATGGTGACATATAAATAATCTGATTTAAATGAACATATTTTTTTCCCAAGTACATTGATTTATATATAAATACAACCAATTAATTACAACAGGTTTCCAAGTTAATTAACAACAAAATATTTTGATATAGGCAATGTTTATTGTCAGTGTTTATTAACACTGATGCTGTACAATTTTGCTGCAAGGTTAAGCTGAAACCAGTAAGAATTAATTACCAACACTGATAATGGAAAAAAGAATAATTCATATGCATATCCATCATTGATTTTATCACAATAAACTCTTGTTACATACACTTACAAATTGCTTTCATAAAACTATCTTACCTTGCATTTTTCAGTTGAAAATCCATTGGTAACAGTATCCTGATATGGAAGTCTCTACCCTTGAAAATAAACATTTAGTTAATAGGAAGGTCAGCAAAGAAAAATATTACACACTTGTGGGAAGCATTCTCCATAAGATCAGCTTCTAAGAAAGAAAGTTTGTCTTCTCTGACTTTCAGGAATATTATTCAGCATTTCTTTATTTAGGAGAAAGCAGCATGAGTGACAGGTAGAAATAAGCTGATTTTAATTCTTAAGTTGAAATACTCTTGACCTCTAACTCACAGAATTCAGTAAAAACACTTCAGTGCACATTTCATAAAGACAAAAATAACACCTTTCAGAAGAAAAATAAACATTATCCAAATCTGAACAAAACCAAGAAATATAATTTAACCCAGGTCATGATGAAGTACATGAAAGTCTGTCTTCAACTCAAGAAAAAGTCAAACCTGACTCTTATGATAAAAGCACTACACTGAAAAGGAACTTGGGCACTCATCCACAACACATTTCAGCAAGGTTTTAGGAACTGTAAACAAAAACAATCCCAAGTACATTAATGTAATTTTTCTTCCTGTTAGTGCAATCCATATGGGGCAGTTCCTAAATGCCCTACTTATATTTTCAATTATTGTCCCTATTTGTGATCCTCCTTCTACTTTCTTAAGGGATGACCAAAATAAAACTGAAATAAAGAAGGTTTGCGAGCAGGTTTAATTCCTCCCTGAACTGAAGAGAGCGGTTAACTCCTCTCACAATTTTTATTCCAGAGCAGCATACCTTGAATTAAGTCCACGAATTCTGAAATTCCTTCAGCAGGAAGTTAAGAACAAACCCAGGTTTCCTCCTGTGATTAGATGACTGATACAGTGGATGCTTTATCTCAATTTCAGAAAGGCCTTTAATACTGTTTCCCATAACATTCTCATAGACAAATTGAAGAAGGATGAACTGGATAAGCTGACAGTGAGGTGGACTGAAAACCCACAGAACAGCTGGGCTCAAAGGGTTGTGACCAGCAGGACAAAGTCCAGCAGGAAGGCCCCCGACTAACTGCACACCAGGGGTCAGTCCTGGGGCCAACACTATTTGACCTTCACTAGTGACCTGGATGATGGGACAGGATAGACCCTCGCTCAGCAAGTTGGCAGAGGATACAAAACTGGGAGGAGTGGTTGATAGACCGTGTGATTGTGCTACCATTCAGAGGGACCTCAACAGGCTGAGGAAATGGGCTGACAGGAAACTCAAGAAAGGAAAGTGCAAAGTCTTGCACCGGGAGAGGATTCAGCCCATGCACCAGCACCTGCTGGTGACTGACCAGCTAGAGAGCACCTCTGCAGAAAAGGACCTGGTGGTCCTCATGGATATGACATTGACCCTAAGCCAGCAATGCACCCTTGCAGCAAAGAAGGCCAAGAGCCTCGTGTGCTGCATTAGGCAAAGCATTTCCAACAGGTCAAGGTGGTGATCCTTCCCCTCTGGTCAGCACTGGTGAGGCACACCAGGAGTGCTGGGTCCCCAGTATAAGAAAGGCATGAACATACTGGAGTTAGTCCAGTGAAGAGCTATGATGCTGACTAAGAGCTTAAAGCATTTCTCATACGAGGAGAGACTGAGGGAGCTCAACTGGTCAGCCTGGAGAAAAGAAGGCTCAGGGGACACCTTGCCAGCGTGTACAAATATCTGATGGAGGACAACTAGAGAAGGTATAGCCAGACTCTGAGCGACACACTGCCAGGATGAGAGGCAATGGGTACAAGTTGAAACACAGGAAATTTCACCTAAATGCAATGAAAAAAACTCAGTGAGGGTAGTCAAACAATGGAACAGGCTGCCCCAGACGTCATGTGGTCTCCATGCTTGGAGATATTAAAAAACAGACTGGACATGGTCTAGAGCAACCTGCTCCAGCTGACCCTGCTAGAGGACCTCCAGAGGTTCCTTTCAACCTCATTGTTTCTGTGATGCTCATGGGCAAAAACAAGATACCCATTTCAGAGCTGAATATAGCCCACTGGCACAACAGTTGCTTCCAAACTCCTCCAAAGCTGATGTTTACTGGACGCTTAAATTAAGCGCATAACCTCAGACTTTGCTACATTATGGCCTTAGCCCTAATCAAAAAATCACATCCGAGGATAGATGTTCACACTTGCATCTTAACCTTCCCATTATTTCCAGGATGCGTTCTAACACACAGGGCGTTTCAAAAGTTGCAGCTTTGAGAGTAATGCAAATATAAACACATGCTTGCACATGTCTTGTGAAAGTTGAATACAAGAGTCACCAAACACCCTCCTGAATTTTGACTGCAAAACTACATTTCTGAAAATGCAAAATGTCTTTTGACTTTTACTTATTTTTATAGGTAGAAAATCCCACGCTATTTCTAAATGAAAATACACCTGCTAAGAGCTGTTTCTGTGACCTGTATGCACGCGCCTGCGTGATATTTTAATGAGCCATGGCTGTAGCGTCACCGCTCTGATGGCAAAGTTGGCTTAAGAGCATCCACTCTCAACCTGTCTTGAGGTGCTGTTCTTCTCCCGGCACTGCAATTTACCAGATCCTCAGAGAGATGATGCAGCTACTTAAGCTGAAACCTCACAAACACGGTAAGTGAAAGGAAAATACCCACCATTAGTCATTCGCTTCAACCTTTACCCTAGGCCAAGAGTGCAGGCACATCAAATCTGCCCCCCCCCCCCAAAACATTCGCCAGCACAAGTCCAGCCCACAAGCCAGCAGCGAGACCGCGCCGCCAAAAGAAGAGCAATTCCGCGGGCACAAACAGCGCAAACCCGCGGGATCGCGGCCTGGGCGCCTCTCCACAGCCCCCTCACGGCACACGGCAGGGAACCGGGCGCAGGAAGGCGGCGCGAGCCGAGGTGCCCCGCTACGACGTCCGTCCCGTCGTCCCCCCCCAGCCCCGGCGGCTCCTGCTTCACAAACCCGGCGGCTCCGCGCTCGGCCGGGAAGCCGCCGGCCCGGCAAAGGGGCGAGGCGGGAAGCGCCCCCGCCCCCGCCCGGCTGACGGGGCTGCCCGCCAGCGCAGGCCTTGGAGAGAGCGGGAGCGGGGGGGGAGGCTGACGCGGTGTAACGGCCGCCGACCAAGCGGCGGCGCGGGCTCCGGTACCTGCGCGGTGACGAAGCCCTCGTAGGCCGTCCCCTCCCGGTTCTGAGGCAGCAGCAGCGGGCACTGGCGGAGCAAGGCCCCCGAGCCCGCCATGCCGCGCCGCTCCTTCCCTCCCGCCCGGCACGGCCGTTCGAATCCGACGCGCCGCCGGGTGAGGCCCCGCCCCCGGCGGCAGACGGCGCACGCGCCTGAGGGGGAGGGAGGGGCGCGTGCCGACCGTTCGCGGAGGGGGGCGGTCCCGCGGAGGCGCCCGCGGCCAGGAGCAGCCGCCTGAGCTGTGGGGGCGCGCGGCTTCCCGGGAGGCGAGCCGGGCCGCCCGCCAGCCCCGGGGCTTCCTCGCGCTTTAGCGCGTCCTGAGGGCACGAGCGCCCGGGGCTAAGGAGAACCGTCGAGCGAGGCTCTTAGTGCGCAGCCGGCTGCGCCAGCAGGTTGAAGTGCCACCCGAAGCAAGGCAAGGGTTTACTTCTGGCTCGATTCGTGCCTTGCTTTTCTAGGAGTCATATAATGTTTCCTGCCGCAACACATTCGGGGTGATAAAAGCTCTTCTGCCCTCTCAGGCAGCTGTTGGGATAAAAACCTTCCTCGCTTTCCTGGGTGCCCTGCCACTAGGGCCTGACAGCCCCTGTGTTTGGGAAAGCCTGAGGAAAGAGGCTTAAACACAGCTTTGGGGTTTATTATGTGTGTTTCAGGAGGCATTAAGGCTTTGCGTATCACCAAGGCAAGGCATCACACAAAACACGAGAGGCAGTTTCTGCTAAAATAGACACGTTTGAGAAAGAAAAAACAGTTTTACAAAGGGGTGGGTGACTTGCCAAAGTCACCTAAGAGGTGTGTTGCAGAACTAGTGACTGAATCTTGAGAATCCCTGAGGCTGCTTCCTTTGGGAACAAATGCAAATGCAATCTGATTAGCATGCAATATATTACTGAAGTTTGTAGAAGGTCATATATTTATAGGCCAGCTGATAAGGCCTCCACTGATGGATATGGTGTTAATGACTAAAGTGGCTAAATCTTGTCAATTTTTCCAGTTATTCATCTCTTGTAGTAGAGGAGGTTATTTCTCCCAATGCAAGTTGAGTCATTCATGTCCTTAAACCAGTGCTCCTCACTGTGGAAATGAGTACAGAAGGCTCACAAGATGTAGAAAAGGCATTATTAGCAGGAGATCAGCTGTTCCAGGCCAGGGAACTGCGAACCCGCTCCAAGTGTTTTCTGCAAGTAGAGAAACACTGTCTCTGGTGGTTGGCAGCAGCTCAGTACCTGCGGGACATGAGGAGAATTGAAAGAGAAGGAAAGAAAACAACAAAAATGTTTATACCTGCAGCTAGATCTTGTTCCCTTAGCTTGGGAGATCTGTACATGGCTATTGCATGGAAACAGAGGAGTCAAAAAGGGTCAAACCCTTTGCAGTTTTATATTGTAGTGGCTTTTAGATATATAGCTACCATGTGAGGGAATGAACATGAAGCCTTGTTTGCTCATTTGAGCTACATGTTAAAGTCTCTTGTGTTCTGTTTTCTTTTTCTATGCCGCCAAAGTTCCTCTGTCCTGTATCCAGATTCTGCCAATGATTTGCCCAAGCATCAGGCATAAAATGCACTAAGAAGAGTCAATAGAGAGGTGAAAGATTCCCAAGATTTGCCATTTAAATTCATCATAATAAGATTTTCAGGAATACGTGATAATAAAAATACCTTCTCAGTGCTGGTTAACATGGTTTTTTACACCTTGCAAGTGTCACTGATGATCTCCAGACTTCCAGCAAGTTATCTGTACCCGAGAAAGACATGTTCTAGCAGTTCAGTTCTTTGCAAGAATGTTGCTCTAGTCACCCTTTTCTGCTCCAGAGAACTTTGGACAATGCAAGACTCAGTTACCAATTTAGGAAACATTTTCTAAATATATGCACAAACAGGTTTTAAATATCACTATGTTTAAGCTGTATGCCCATATTTTGCTCCGCTAAAGCTGCACATGTGCATTTCAATACCCAGCATGGCTCACCTTGAGCAGTTAATCCAATGCTTCATAGTAAATTGTGTCCTTCATGTTATCTATTAATTTCATTTTGATCAAAACATTTCTTCTCTTGAGCTGTTTTCTCTCAATGTGCATTATACTAGAAATTACCTTATTTAATTGCGAAGTATCTCTGTACTTTACCAGGCAGAGAGATTATTTCTTAATTGCATCAAATGCAAAACTGAAAACAGTTTTTCTTCTTCTTTTGGACATGTTTATCTTAGTCTCTGACATTAAAAGAAATGTCAAGTCACTTTAGCCAAGTGCAGTTATGGAGTAATGTATCTAAATAAAAATACTGTAATATCAGAACCATAAAATATTTTAGTACTCCGGCCCAGAGAACATTAATCATTATCTTACACTGTATATACTGTACACTTTTAAACTTTGTATAAAAATGCAATTACTCGAAACATCATGTTCCTTTGATCTGGCACACAGGCTTCAAAATTTTTAAAATAGGAAAATAACAAAATCAAAGCAAGAAAGAGGTTTGACAGGTATACTTCTTAAGGCAAAGGAGTCCTGATCTGATCTTTCAGCCACAGGCCACCTTTACTAATTTAATTACAATCATTGTTTGCAAGAATCATAATGGAGTTTGTTATTAATTATTTGTCCATTCAAATATCACATTCAGCCAGTTAAGTAATCAAAAAATCATGACTTGAGTGACAAAACAAACAGTATGCAGACCAAACACTTGAAAGCGACATTTTCTAAGCTAGATTTTGTAAGTAAAATTATCCCACAGTCAGACAGCAAGTACATTCACAGAAGACAGAATTCACATGAAACCACTCAGTAACCTAAAAAAAAATTCATTGAAATAATGTAGATTTCTTAAGAGCTTGATTTTTTTTATTTATTTAAGGATATTATGAAAGGCAGGAAAATAACAGTGCATTGTTCTCCAACATTAGTATCTCCAACATAAAACAATCAATTTAAAAACATGCAAAATTGCTAATACTGTTATTGCTGTCCTTCATAACTCAGTGTCATTTTGTTCATCTCGCCCCTAAAAAATGACCTTTTCTGTGTGTATCCCCACCTTTTTCCACAAATCCCCTGAGTGACAGAATCTCATCCTAATCCCATTTCCATTTAGATGTTATAGAAAAGCATTGTAGACCTTCGAGGGAGTAAGTAATCATAATGGAAAGATAATAATATGTTTATGAAATCTGGATTTTATAATAGCAAATTGGAAAATTACAATAGTGTTTCAAGCCACTGAAGGTCAGTGTTACTAAGAGAGCAAAGCCATCGATCGAGTGTTTTTAAACTTTCATAGTTTAGATTATTTTTTAATACAGAACATCTCTATTTCAGAAAGCACCTCTCTTCTGAGATGATTTCTCACCTACCTAGTGATCACAAAATCTGGTGTTAAAAGCAGTAGTTGTTTGTAAGGAAAAGCCACACTAGAAAAATATTTATTATGTTTTAGCTTCTGTGCAGACCTAAACACACAGAACAACTTCACAGGCCTCTACAAAATGCACCATAGACTACAGTTTAAGAATTCCAGCCCTAATGAATTCTTAAAGGTAGAAGCATATGAAAGTACTCTTAATTAAATATAGCAAAAGAATACTTTGAATAGTATGCAGTTGTACCTTTTTTTTTACTAAAGGTAAATTTGCTTGCTCATGCCTAAAAGCTACACCAAAGGTGTACATACTGAAAACCAGTGAAAATTAACTGAGGTCTTAGACAAAAAAATAACGCTTAAACCTTGTCCTCAGCTAATTGAGGAGTTTCCCTCTCAAGCTTCAATTTTCCACTGAAAGCACAGCTCAGAGGCTAACAGCCATTGGGACTAAATGGAGGTTTCTGTGACTAAACCAGCAGGCCATTGTTGTCATGTGAAAGAGGTTTTATTGTACTACTGATCCCACTGAAGGGCTCATTGTTGTGAAGGACAGTGGTGCTCTTCCCTTCACCCTGCTCCTGGCCATACAGTCCCTTCTTCTCACTTCTGCCAACTCTGGTCCCTCATTGATCCCCTTGTACACGGGGCCAGTTTGTTCACTGACCAAAAACTAACTGCCTTTTTGATGAATTAGTTTTAGGCTGGCCTGGCTTGCTGAAGCTGTAACACAAGGACTGGAGCTGCCATGAAGCAAGCATCAGGAGGGCACATCCACAAGCCAAACCACCCTGTTTAGAAACAGTGAGATGTCAGATTGGACACTGGAAGAGTACGCAGGTGAGAACCACCAGGCTTCCCCTTCTACCACAATCCTCCCAGGCCACAGCCTGTTACTGGCACAGTTTTCATGTGTACTCCCTGCTTTGTTTTACCCATGAAATTTTTGCTACAAAATACTTCTAGTGATTTGCACAGAATTGTCTTACTTTTATTTCTGGCTATTTTAAAACCATTTTGCATCATTAACAGTTCACAAACTCAGATGGAAACTCTGGACATCTCTAATACCTCAGTACAAAGCAGTGCAGCTGTTAACAAAAGTGTCTGAAGCAGCAAATGAGTCTGTTCTGATGATTTTGAATGCAATTGTTCTTCTGTATTTAAGAACTTTAATATTAGAAAACATCTGCTAGTGCCAAACCCAAGAACACTGATTGATCTATTAACAGTATAAAATTATTAAGTAAGCATTGGATATTTTAAAATGTCTTCAGTCCAGAGGGCTTGCAAAGCTCATGTTCATCTTTGTACATATAGGAAAAATCTTGGCACTCTTTTTGGCAGATGACCCAGTGAAATAACTGATGTATGAACATTAATGCATTCACATAAATTAACTTGTGCACATAAAAAACACAGAGGCTTTAAGCCCAATTACATCTTCCTGAATTGTACAAATACTCCCTTTGCAGTCAGTGGCAACTCAAGAAGACAAGGCCAATCCATATGTTATATTGATTCTAAAGGCATGAGAGTATGCAGTTAATCCCTTTCAAGCCTTGCAGAGCACAGACTCTTGGAGATCTTCCAAGCAGCCAGATGAAAGTTGCCTTTCAGAACCGGGGAACGTATGTTGTTAGGGATTCCAAAAGATGCTGGGCCAAAATCTGGCCTTGCTTTTACCAATGTAAAA